TCCTGGAAGCAATTAACACAGGACAAAGACTTATTAGAAAATACATTAACTGATGCACAAGTGTATGCTGCAATCCAGTGCTACATCAGAAGTCCAACCTAAAGTCCTAGGGACTGCAGGAGACATCAGACCAAGTCTCCATTTCAGCAAGACTTGTTTTAATTTTGCGGTGCTGCAGCTGAGCCATTATGAAGTTGGCCTGGCTTGCTGAAGCAGTGTCTTGATTACACACCAAGATGAAAAAACAAGCTTGTCAAAAATGGAGACAGACAAATCTCATAAACCAGCTATTTTTCAAAACGAGTAAGAGCCTAACAGCTGCCATTAAGTTGGAGATTTCTCAAAAACAAAACCCTAGTTCTTTGACACATTAAGTAAGGTCAGCATGTGAATTGCAGAACTCCAGTTTCACATGCATTCTAAGCCCTAGGAAAGCAGGAATCGCCTCCAGAGAAGCTACTGGAGAAGCTCAGAACTTCCCAACGTGTGGAAAGCCAATATCATACTTCAGATTTACATTCTTAGTCCACAGTTATGCAAGCACTGTAGTTAAACTCAGCAGCACGCACAGCCCTGACCCCCCCCATCCGGACACACAAAACCTTTAGCATTACATGTTTTACCTTGATCTCCAAGCACTAAAGCACCAGCTTCCAAGGCAAAATCTCCAGAAGCACCATCTCTAGACAGTGTAACGGTCAGGCCAGAGCTGGTGGAAGTATTGCCACAAACATACACACCTCGAGGAGCAACATTACACACAGCCTAGAAGAGAAATAAATATTTTTTGCCTCCCCGATGTGAAGAATTTCAGAAGCCTTATCCCAGAGCAGCAATTCAAAGTAAACCCAATTTTGTATCTTTCTGCTTAACGTGGCCCAACAGTAAAGTTATAACTCCCTGCAACTCTGAGAGACATACTTCTGGAAAACAGTAGGAATAACTCTGGTCACCATACTTGCAGCACAGCCCTGTCTACTGAGTTATCAAAACTACTAGGACCTTGGGCACAAGCACTTCAAGTTATGTTGAAATGCTTGGGGACATGCTATCTGTCACAGAATTGCAGGTATACAGTTTCTGTATCTTCAGACCCCAAGGTCTATTTAGACTAATATCTTGTCCTGGTGCCCCACACATGCTGCTTCTGTGGAGGAAGGCATAGTTCTCCCCACAACTAGGGGTTAAAGGACAATCCTAGTCTTCTCCATGCCTCTAGTATCCACAAAGTAGCCTACAATTTGAAATATGAACTAGAAAAGCAAAGCATGGTAAGCTTGAACACAGACATGTTGCAGTTAAATTTGCCTAGAATACAGTTATAACTAGATTTTCCCAGTAACTCTATAGTTACTGGTACCTCTGTTTTATTTAAAAAAATAACACCCACAGGATATTTGTTCAGTACCAGATAGGTGACAGGCACTGAGTATTGAATAAAAAACCCGAACAAAAAAAAACTGGCTTCTACACAACTTTGGTTTTCTCCTTGGGATTATTTTTTTTTCCCTGTGACAGTGATGACAGAGGATCCTTGTCTCAGGGTCTTATCTGCGGATTACTAGATTTTCTTGAAAGGCATTCTGTTATTTAGTAACAATGTGGAAAAAACAAATCATTTACCGTATGCTAAAGAGCCCCCACTCAGTGAAAAAGTAATTTAAAAATTTGTTTGCCAAGATGCCTGCATACAAATCCATCGCTTTGGTTAAGTTATTGCAAGTCATACCCCAACATTACATGTCCACATTAAAAAGGCTCAGACTTTTTAAATGAGGTATTCAACACCGCAGGTCTAGATGAACTGTGTCCCCCTCTCACTTCACAGTAATCATGGGAAAATACATGGAACATTAGAACCATTTAATATGAAAAAATTCTATTACTAACTGATTTTGTCACAGTCATGCAGAAACACCCACCAAGATTAAAACCCAAACGCAGCAGCAGGTCCCTTTCCCAAGAAGCTGAGATCCATGCTAGCAACATAAAAATAGACTAAGAGAATGGAAGTGAATCCAACAGAAGTTGAGTGACACGGTAGTTAAAGTTGCATTAGTTCCAACAGTGTATTTCTTATATTTGACAATGGATCAGCTAAATGAGGATAGGAAGGAATGAAACTCCACACCGGAGAAAAGGGTTGGTGAAAAAAAACTACATAAGGACAGGACAACAAGTCTGTACTTGAAAGCCCAGTCTTGACCAAGTATACCTGCTTTGGGAAGTGTTTTAACAGGCCTGATTCATTCTGCAAGAGTCCCTGGAAGGAGAGCACAGCAGTGGACCCCCCTTTGGGTACTATCCTATTTTCTATCCTACATGAAAAGACAGCTCCAGCCAGGTTTTGGTCTTAGCACAGCTATCCTAACGTGCTTGTAAGAAGTCAAGATAAGGAATTAGAGAAAAATAGAACAAGACAACAGAAATAAATCAACCCATACTTGCAACATTTGACTTTTTCCTAATCCTGGATCTCCAACAATGAGAATGTGTGGATCTCCTCGCACTGGGATTCTGTTCTTGTCGTCTACAAACTTCTGACATCCTCCAAATAACGCCAGGGCCAGACCTGCCTTTACAATCTGTAGAGGTACATACCAATGCTAATAAGCATTTGATCATGGTGACCAATACTGACAGCTCCCTAGAATTGCTTATAATAACCCTTTCCTTCTGGTTGGCTTAACTTAAGGGTATAAGGCTGCCACCTCCTTGTCACTGAAAGTGACTGAGAGTCACAGTCGCCTATAAACAAAATCCCTGCCCCTTCCACCCCAGATAAGCTTTATAAATCCTTTAGAAGTTTACTGTGGCATAAACATTTCAAACTAAAGTTGCGAGCAGAGCTGTTATAAAATAATTACCTCGTGGCCATAGATTGCAGGACAAAGAGAGCTGAAAAACAAGGAACACTAACATAAGAGGAATATAAATCTTGTATTACTATTAAATAATCACTTGTTCTTGTTATAGAATGCCTCTAAAACCATATAAAACATTTGGGTAGCTGCTGCTGAGTTCCCAATAGAATCAGTTTAAATCAGCAGCATCAAATTCCTTTAAATTTTCAGACGACCAGATATGCTTAAAATAAGAAAAGCCTTTCATCTGAGTTTACAAAAACACAGAGGAGAATCAGTTTCGCAGCGGTTTCTGCACCCATTCTCACCTTAATCAAGTAGCTACTTGTAAATCTCTTTTCAAAGGTGCTAGTTTCATGTTCTTTGACTCCACTGGGAGGGCCTGACAGATGCTACAGCTAGAAGAGTACTTCTTGGTCTGAACTGAGAGTCTTTCACGCCCTCTGCTCAGTTCTTGCACCTTTTAGTATAGTGCGTTGAATTTACTCAGTGAGGAGTCAAATTTTTTTTTTTTTTTATCCATAGCTTTCTGTCTCAGGGTTGAATTGAACCACTAACTTCCCTCTATCCTTAAATCCCTCCCAAAGTCTTAACATCCCCACTGCAATACTTGCATTTCCTCCCAAGCCCCTTGCCCACTAAAGTTTGTTACATCTGTGTGGTATCTATTACACAAGACTTAGACATTTCATAGCTTTAAGATTGGCTGTCACATTTGGCTGAAGGTGATCACGAAGATTCAGAAGTCTAGTCCTACACCTTGTCTAGGTCTGAAACAACTTACTTCACGATGAGCCTGAACAGATTTTCCTCAGCTTGAATTTCTTGAACAGCATAGAGGTCTTTAAGTGAAAACTCCATGAACGATCTTTGAAAAGTCTCATCATCAAAATTCTTTGTTTTTTGTCCTTTACTGTTGCTGACAGAATTTGCCTCAATGTACAACAAGAACATACACTTGTCATTCTTATTTTTAGAAGCTCCTGTCAGAAAAATTGAGAAAGGATGAAGGAATATTTTTCTATAGTTACGTACTGATGTTATTTGCAAATGGCATAGGGTAATTCAGAAATATTAAGTACAGCCATATGCAAAAATGTTTGTATTTAAGTATTTGAACATCTGCATTTTCAAAAATTGATGCAAAGTAAGTTTCCAGATACATTTGTTCTTTAAGTGCCCTCTATATAGGTACATAATAAAATATTTTGCTGGACTAGGAGGGTATAAATATAGAGAGAGAATTTTCTCCCAGAATAAATGAAGTTTTCCAAGAATTTTAAATTATTACATTATTCTAACTAAATAAAAGTGTAATATAAAATGTTTCCACTCAATATTTAGAGAATAAAAATCCATAGTGCAGAAGAATTAAAGGTGTAGCTTAATTATTATTCATTTTCTATATCCCCCCCATAATTACTGAGCAGAAAACACGGTATCACAGTAAATCAGTACTGCAGTTCTCTGCAACATATCCTATTACAGCTGTGTACAACATACTTCAGTTTGGGGGGTACAAAAAAAAAAAAAAAGTTGTAAAATTTTTCCAGGGAAGACTAAACTAAGAAAGATAATACACTTTCACAACAGTGTGGACAGTTTTCCTATTGTATGAAGGGGACATTAAAGGGAAAAGGCTAAGTAACTAATGAGTCTCTGTGAGACTTCAGGAAATAAGGATGTCCCTGATACACCAGTGGCTCAGAGAAGGCTTCCCTATCAGCTGACATACTAAAACATCAGATGTCAAATGGGCACTTCAAATTCAGGAACCCTAGTCATGTAGAGATCAGTGGGTTACAAACCCCCTCTCTTATCGGTAGAGATTAGGGACAGTGCTCCTCTTGGACAGTACTGCTTCTGGCTTTTGCAAAATAATTCGTTACAAAACTTTGGGAACTTCTGAAGAAATATCCATACATATATTTCTGAAGAAATATACTTAATGCATTTACAACTTTGAGGGCTCAAATGAAGGGAGATGGCTGTTCTGGTGTAATGACTAGAATCCCCACCCTAAGAAAAAAGTGTTGGTTTCAGATGATGTATTTTACCTTCCTCAGTGCTCGACACCTTTACTATCCCGGTAATTGTGACCATATCTCCCGGGACACAGCTGTCCACAAGATCTTGAACGAGTTCACATTCAATTGTGCGAGGGATTCTGCCTGCTCCTCGCTGATCATCTGACATGAGCTCCTGCACCCTGCAAAACATAAGGTGAGCATACGCTCCATGCACAGCATTTCCACTTATGGCATACAAGATCTGCATCTGTGTGCTTCCATCCAATCCTTTCCAAAATGAGAAGGGAGACAGCAGAATGCCCTGATAAACTCTAGAAACAGCAGTGCTGAATTTGGAGAAACAGACTTTTTCAGTTCAGACTTTAATAAGTGGGTATACATTATGCATAAACCCCAGAAAGACAATAACTATCAACTCCAGAAATAATTAAAGCTGAAATTCTGATTTTTCTAGCACTGATGAGTATATTCATGTAGAAATAAGTACAGTACCTGAAATAAGATGGACCTCAAATAAAAATTAAGGTCAGACATCAGAGCTCTGATAAATGTTTAACTGGCATTTTAACCCGAGCAAAGGCCAAGAAATTCCTCAGACCATAACAAGAACAGTAGCTTACTCTGAGTAGTTGTAAAAGGCTAGCAACCAACAAGTTCTTTAAAAGGTTCCATCTTTGGCTCTGCACTTAGAGCTCTGATACTTTTCCTTGAAGCTCAGAGTCAAGCTTTTTCTTAAGAAGCTGTGTTAAACAGCACCCTCTAGAGCTGCTGACAAAAATGTCAGCACTTTTTAAAACAACTTTTTATATTACTTATTACAGAATGTTAATAAAGAAAAACATGCTGACACCCTTACTGCAGTGAGCTAACAGGACGGACAAAAAAACAACACAAACTCTTCTGAATGTCTATTACAGGGCAATAATGGGATGGCCGTAGTACCTTCCTACACTTTATCATTGTTCATTTCTGTAGAAACAGTGACTTCTTCCCCAATAGCGAGTCTCACAAAATTTTAGGTATGCCTACTTGCTGATTAGACATAGAAGGAAGATCAGTGGGCAGGCACAGCACTATTTCCTTCTACTGAGAGTACCTTAAGGACTGGGGGGACACAATCACTTCAAAATAAGATTTTTAACCCTCAAATTTACTTTCAGTTCATACAAGTCAACTGTCACAGCTGACCAATGTAATTTATTAGTACTTTTCTAGAAGATTTACAACTCATTAAAGGGACTCATTAAATAATAGATACAATTAGAAATGACCAAGAAAAGCTGCAAAGAGCACAAACTGAACATTTCTCAAAGAACTCAGTCCTGGTAGGAAGAATTTCCAAGATGCTATCATAATGGGTAGGTTTATTATACAAAGTCCAGTGGTGCTCTAATACAACAACCGCTTTGCAATACAAATTTCAAAGAGCGCTCGCCAGAAAAATAATAAGATTATTAAAATGACGCAGTGTAACATGGAATGAACTGTCCCACCGCTTTGACTACCCTGTTGCATTACATTTTTGTGCAGAAGGGAAGACGTGCTTACTTAACAGACTGCCAGTCCACTGTGGTGGTTAAAGGAGAGCTTCTGTCAGCTGTGAAGGATCGGCCACGGCACTCGGGAATAAGGCACTATAACAAGAGTAATTCTAATTCATTCTCCACCTTTTTTTAAAATCATAATTAGAAATTGCCTTATTTGATTAACAAAAAAAAAAAAAAAGCAAAGCAATGCGATTCATTGACACCATTTCAGGAAAAAAGCTAGTTAAATTAGGGCTGCGAATTAGCACAACATAATTAATGAAGAACTATCAAACACAGACACCTGAACCCTGACTCAGAGCTGTTCGAACAAGTACAGCTTGAACTGTATGATCCCCTTGGTGAACTAGTTTGAGTTTCTATGTGTTGGGTTTTGTTTGTTTTTTGGGGGGTTTGGGTTGGTGGGTTTTTGGTTTGGAGGTTTTATTGGGGTTTTTGTTGGTTTGGTTTTATGTTTGGTTGGGGGTTTTTTTGTTTGGTTGTTTTTTTTAAATATTTGCAGATGTTCCAGAGGAGATACTTTTCACTTGAGTACATCAGGTAAGATAAAATAACTGGGTGCTATCCTATGTCTAATGATTTTTTAAATCCAGATTAAAAAACAGTGAAATTAAAATAGAAAGTTCTAAATAAAACCCACAAAGAACCCCAATCTAAGCACAGAAAACCACTGCAGTGAGGTAGAACAGGCTTTTTAAATATAATTGGTGAAATGAAAATTAAGAGTTTGTTTTTTTTTTTTTCCCCTAGATTTGAGGGAGTTTCTACATATTGCTTTTATTTCATCTGGATATATTTTTTTTTCAGATAACAAAGGTGTGCAGTAATAAAAAGCTGCATGGTAAGTTTAACGGTTTCTAATGTGTCGGTTGTTTAACCTAGCTTTAATGGTGAGATTTTTTTTTTTTTTTTCACCAGTAGTGCTGCTTTTTGACAAATCATTATAGATAAGGGAAAAGTACGGAGTTAAATGGTTTTAACTGACCTTAGTTGGAAGAGTATACTTTCCATCAGGTAGAGGAACACTCTGAACATCTCCACACGTGCCACATATGAAAGCTAGCTTAGTGCACAGAGGCTTAATGTTACTGACACGCACAACAGTACCACGCAAGGCAATATATTTTCCATAGCAGTTGGCCCGAACGTTTTTCAGCTGAGTTAGTGGATCATAGTTGTACACCCTATACAAAAGTTAAGCATTAACATTTTGAAAGCTTACCATATTTAAGTGCAGGACAAACAGCGCGCCCCCCCCCCCCCCCCCAAATACAACCAAAAGAATCTCACACCCAACAACAAAAAACAAACAAATTACACACTAATTATTAACAATAATCCAGAGCAATGGTTAGAAACACTTTGTCTGTGGACCCATGTTATAGTCTTTGATTCCTGTTCTAGAAAGCAGTGTGACATTTAATGTTCCCCAAGGGTATATACATCAACAGCTGTACAGCTTGTTTATAGAGTGACACTTCCCTCCTGTAAACAACAGAAATTACTTTATAGTCATCTATAACCATCTCTTTAAATTATTTCAGATTAAGACCAGTGTTTAGACTTGAAACACAGAAGGATCAAAGATTTGTTATGCCTATGCTCCAAAAGGAAGGGTGAGTTTTCATGTTTCAAGGACATAAGAATCTGTCATCAGGAACAACACACTGCACCTTGTTAAGGACAACAAAGAATACATAGCCAAATCATTCAGAATAACAAACTTTAAACACAATCATTGATCATGGAATGGACCTGATGTGATTGTCTAATCAAACAGGGGCAGATAGAGCAGGTTGTCCAGGTACATATCTAGTTGTCTTGAATACGTTCAGGGATGGAGACTACACCACTTCTCTCACAGTAGAAGAGCATTTTCTTATGTTCACATGGAATTCTACGTTTTTAAATTTGTACCTACTGTCCCTGGTCCTGTAACTCAGCACCAATGAGAGGAGTCTGACTCCTGAAATCCAGGGTTTTCCCTGCTTCAAACCCTGAACAGCACCATTTCGTTTTCAACCCTGTCTACGCAGCAGAACCATTTCAGGAGCATATTTCACTGACTTACTGAATACCTTCCTCTACAGGAAAATGGTCCTTAACTCAGAATTTGAGAGCTTGTACATACCTTTTTTGGCCACAGGTTTTTCCTAAACACATTCTACTGTGTAATTAAAAGGGTTCAGTTTTATAACAATGCAAAACTTAAAAATATATCCTAGTGCTACAGGTCCCCAAACTAAATCCACCTGTCATGCCAAAATATGGGGCTATACCACACTAAGCCATCACCAGTTGGGAGTTAAAAAAAAAAAAAAAAAGTAATTTTAACTCAAATAGGGCATATACTTCCAGTCCCCCTCAGACTTCTGAAGTCAGTGACACCATTACTTCTAATAAAGGAAAAAAAAAATCATGTTAAGGGCATTAAACTGAAAGGAACTCACTAAACTCATTAAAACTCAAAGGAAATCACGTTTTATAACAGTAATTATGATTCTTGCAAGTACATACTTATTCAGAATTAGTGTAACCTCAGCTTCTTAATTTCAAATTAAAGTTTGATTAATTATAATTAATATTCTTGAGACTGTCTACCAGTAATCATTTAACAGATTTAAGCTAATACGAAAAAACATATCCTCATACACCACTGTGAAAACATCCACACAAGGAATAGTTAATACTACTGGCAGTAGTTTTTGTCTACAAAATCAGCCTCCTTACAAAGACAAGCCTTTTGCTAATAAAAACAATAATCACTTCCCAACTTCTTCAGTAAACAGCAGAAACTGAAATAGTGGTGGTTTTAATCAATACATGTTTCATAGAATAGTTGTTCTACTTTTAAGTTACTTCTCTACTTAGAAGCTTTTCTAGTTACAAGCTGTTTGTTCAACTTAGAAGCAGGTTTCATTTCACTTTTTTCTTCACAAAGGCAATTTAGCCTTTATCACGGTGAGGAAAAAAACAAATAGATCTTCCTGGAAAAAAACCCCAAATACTCAATGCCCATTACCTAGCATGAATGAGAGGCACATTTATTATAGGTTCTCCCTCAAGCGGTAATCCTTCCTGCACCTGCAGCTCTGCAGCGTGCCTTTCAAGGTCCTTTGTTAGCACCTAGACAGAAGAGAAAGGCAGCCACCAATGCAGCGTGTCATGCAACATGGATTCCATTTGCTACACAATTTGATTACCATCCCTTACAATCAGATCCCCCACCTAAAAAGCTCTCTGCTGTCCAGTGACCCCCCAACTAAACAGTGTTTTTCTGCTTTTGAGCAGTTTTAAGCTTCGCTTCAAATGGAATTTAAAATTATTTGTTGGGTTTGGGTTTTTTCATTAAAAAAAAAAAAAAGCAGACAACCATTTTTAATGCTGTGGTCAACCTGTGTTTTGTTTGACTACAGCACAAACATCTGAAAACTTGTCTGTCAACAAGCAGCGAAATGCTACTTGAAGAGACATTGAACAGAGCCAGAATTCCTGAATCTGCTCACCCACCAGTCGTGGTTCTGCTGCATGAGGTGGGACACACAGCACAGATATCTCACATTAAAAAAACAAAACAAAACAAACCAGGAATTAGAACTCCCAATGGGGAGTAACATAAGTGTTAGAACTACATTGAGTCTTAGTCAACTGTATGAATGATGAATAAGCAAAATGCACGAAGACCGAAGCATTTTTGAAACGTGATTTTGTGGGCCATACAGAAATGGTGGAGAGATGGAGGAGTGTGAGTTTTAAATAAACAGTAATTTCCTGTAAGAGACAAAACATAGAGGCAATGATGTTAAAACCCCCTAAATCTAATTCCCCGATTCTTTTTCATTATGAGGGTTACACTTCTCTGTATTAGAACATCATATTTACCTGATGAATTGCCAGACCCATACAGTGCAGTATCTTCTCAGGCATATCCCTTAACTCAGTAGATATATTTGGTATTGATTTAGTCAATTCTCTGTCTTGTATTAGTTCCTTATAATCCACGAGAATACTTCCTTTTCTTTCTATTTCATCCTGTGAAACATTTTGTTATAAAATACACTTCAAATTATCAACACAAGACATCCAAATCACATCATAAATGTTTCATTATGTTTGATGGAGAAAACACACAAAATTTGTAGTGTTATTGTATCAACAATAGGCTGTTGGAGTGCGATATGGTTTGTTTTGCTTTTACCTTATCATAAAGCTCAATGCGTTGCATGAAAAACTTTTCAAAGGCTTGGGTCTTCTGGACAAAAGGAGACCTGTCAGCATAAGCTAATTAAAAACATGCCTCATTAGTAACTGACAGAAATAATTATTTCCATTTAACAAAATACATAAACAGGCAATTTCTCTGCCACTCTTTTTCTGCATTCTAAAACTGAGGAAGATGATAGATCTCTACAGTATCACAATAATATTCTATTAAAGACTTACTACAAAACAGAACTTTGTCCAAGGTGACACAGGAAAAAACACATAGGATCAAGAAAAGTACAGCAGAGGTATGTACATTCAAGTCTTTGATAGACTACAGGTTTTGTGTGGCTAACTGAACGGGTTCAAGAAAGATCATGTTTTACAATATTCAAGATTCCTTTCCAAGGTTTGGAGCCCACTGAGACTACAGTGTGCCACAAGATTAAAATCTCTATTGTGCTCATGTTTTTATATAACAAATAAGAACTTCAGTTGTATTCTGTTGAACTTGTGCCCTCTACTTATATGCAATTCTAGAAAAAGTGGAATAAAATACTTGCTACATGTAATTTTGGTTTAAAAATACCTTCAGAGAAATAAAGCTTCCAGCCCTTATAGGGAATAAACTGGTCCAAGGTTGACTGGACTAGTCGAGGTCTTGCTACAAAAAAACCCAAAACAAACAAAAAATAAAATTAAAATGGGGATTAAAACAACATGGATAGTAAAACTTCACAAGTTTTATTCTCAGTGATTCCTTTGAGCACTGGGAGGCAAACGGCTGTATTTGCTTAGCGCAAAAGTAGTTCAAAAGAAAGGCTTTTTATTATGGCTTCGGAGAATAGGTGGTAGAAGCACAGGAATAAACTCACTGGGTTCGGGTATTCTTCTCCACTGTCCCTTCTGTCCTCTGCCTCGCCATCCTCCTCGCCACACGGGAAAGCTCCTTCCCCGGGCGCACCCCCTGCCTCTGAGATCCCTGCTCATCTCGCTCCGCAGGCACCCGCCGGGGGACGCGACGAAACAGAAATTTTACCACAAGATATTGAATTTAAATTAAGGTGACTTGCCGGGGGGCACTGAAGACCCTGAGGTACTTCCAAGGCCCTACTCACCCTCTCCCGACCCCAGGCGGGCAGAGAGGAACCCCGTGAAGCGGCCTCGCCGATGAGAGGGCGAAACAACAGCACCACTCACCAGAGATTTTACCCCACGCGATGCACCACCGCCGCCAACACCACCGCCGCCAACACCTCAAACACCCTCAACACCGCCAACACCACCGCCAACACCGCCGCCACCACCACCGCCGCCGCCACCAACACCGCCGCCGCCAACGACGCCACCGCCGCGGCCAACGGCGCCGCCGCCAACGACGCCGGCGGCGCCGCCGCCGCCGCCGTCGCCGCCGCCGCCGCCTCCCCCTGAGGAGAAGGTAACCGTCGTCCCCTCAGTGTTCTATTTTGGCGCCAAACGCCCCTTCCAGCGCCGCAGCCAATCCTGAGGGCCTATGTGGCGCCGCCGCGCACCAGGGGGCGGGGCCCGCGTGCCCTCATTGGCCTGCCCTTTCCCTTCCCGGTCCCGCCCACTCGGGGCTGGCCGAGCCTCATTGCGCAGGCGCCTCCCCACTCCGCCTTGTCGTTGGCCGGCCAAGGGAGCGCAGGCGCAGTCCCCGACCCCCCTGTTTCCCCCCCCCTCCCCCCCCACGCGACGGCGGTGCGCACGGCGATGGCGGGCGGGCTCGGCTCGGGCCCGCGCATTCGTGAGGGGGATTGCGCTGTCCTGAAGCGGGATGATGTTTTCAAAGCGGTTCCCGTGCTACGGCGGAGGTGAGGGGCGGCCCGGGGCTTTCGATCCTGCTTGTCACCTCCCCCCGCCTCGGGCGAGGTTGGCGTTTAGTCCTTTCCCAACCCCCCCCCAACCCGTGAGGGGGCTCTAACTTGCGGCGCGCGGCCCCGCCTGAGGGAAGGGGGGTCCCTCCCGGTGCGACCTCCCTAGCTTTCCTGCTGTGAATCAGAACATCCGGCCTCGCTAAGCCGGTGGGTGACAGGCAGCATGGAGGATGTTAGTGCTGTGTTCCCGTGACAAAAAAAAAAAAAAAACAAAAAAAACCCAAACAAACAAACAAAAAATACCCAGACAAATTCCTGGCTGCTTTTTTTTTTTGCAAAAATTTGAAAGATACTTAGGATGGTTTTGTGTTACTATAGTCAAACCGGTGTCGATGGAAGAGCAGAGGCGCAGCAGCATCAAGCGCGTGCCTTCATCATACTTACCTCGCTGTGGCGTATAATTTCTGCGACATGCAGCCTTGTTTTGTTACATAGGGACTGGCTTGAGTGTTTTCGTCGCTGTCAGACTGTAGGAAGATGCTAGCTATCAGCGCTGGATAGCTCCTGCTCGGGAGAGGATGCTATGAAAGGTCTCCTATTTCTTTTTCCTAGGCTAACTGGCATAGCAAGAACTGCCTGCACCCCTGCAGGAAATACTGTAATCAGTGGACACAGCCTGGGCTCTTCCCATTGCAGCAGACAATTTTATAGACCAATGTGTAGAAGTCAGTATTGGGTAATGTGGCCAGACATCTGATTCAGTAGCGTGGAGATTTAAAGGTACTATGCTTGAATGAGACTGGTTGAAAAATGGCACAGCTCAGACCTAGGATTTGGGGAGTGCTTGGCTATTGGCAGGACTAATGTTCACCCGTAGAACCTGGCACCAAAATCAGATCGTTACTCTGTTAGCCTGCAGAGCACTGCCAAGATGTGTTCATTAGGTCCATCTTCGGTTTTGGTTTAAAACCTCTACTATAAAAGAAAAAAATAAAAAAGTCGAGTAAAAATTCACACAGGAAACTCAGTAACTTTTGCATTTAGTTTTTCTGTAATCTGATGAGAACAAGAACATGTGACAATAGCTGTGGTTGGATATTCTGTTTAGAATGGCCATCAAAATGAAATTTGAGCACAAGCACACAATATCTAGCTAAATTCGTTTCAGTCATTTCAATGCTTTTATAGTCATTTATTAGTCTTTTAAAATCTGTGTTGGCAGGGATTAATAGACTTTATGTGAGTGACTATAATGTCATTAAATTTTTATTATGAGGATGTAATGGCTGTGACAAAACTTTATTCTTATGCTTTGTTTAAATTCTGGATTGCATTTGGGGATACAAGTAATGCCATGTGTAAAACATACATGAATTGCACACTTAAGTCAGTAGAAAACTGGAAATAGCTTTTTTGCTTAGCTTCAGAATTAGTAGTGAGTATAATCAGCGTAATGACAGCTCATATTGGTAACTTTTGATTCTAATATGAGTGTGGCATCTACACTGGTACCTGTTTGACTTGACAAGATCGGCATTTCTCTGGTCAGCAAGGAAACCTTTGTAGGTCATCCTGAAAGTTAAAGGCTTTGTGGATCCTCTTTTGTGTGAAGAAAGAAAAATACAAACCTCCCTTAGTGCAATCAAAATGAAAGGAATAATAAAATCCTTTTATTTTTTTTTTCTTGTATTAAACATTTCTAGAATTATAAGACACTCTCTGCTGTCTGTTTTCTTTGTAGTCTTTTGGCAAATGTTATTTCAAAGGAGCTCTGCAAAATACAGGTTCATGCTCATCTATTTGCACTAATCTGCGTGACCCTGCCTAGATTTAATATACTTTAGATTAATTTAATTCCTTGCCTTGTTCTGACTATAGCTGCCAAAAACGGTACTGTATAATTCAAGTGCTATGGTCTTATTTTATCTGCCATTTTAGAATTCTTTTGAACGGAAAAAAAAAAAAATTCTTACTGTATGCTCTATTTAAGTTCTTTGTTCTTTTCCTAACCGGTTTCAGTTTAATGTGGATTTGTGGTTAATTTGACTTTTTGTGCTTGTGCTGGTTTTCTACAAGGATATAGATAAAAATGGCATATATGAAGCTACAGTTTAGTTTCAACCATTGTGGGTTTCAGACATAGTAAAAACAATGCTTTTAATATCATTAACTTTCTTATTTCAGAAAAATAATTTTTGAGAAGCAGTGGTTCTATCTGGATAATGCCATTGGACATATTTATGGAACTACATTTGAAGTAACCAGTGGTGGAAACCTTCAGCCAAAGCAAGAGTTGGAAGAGACTACCACAGGTAGTGCAGAGGATTGGCTGGTATTTGGAAAAATGAGTTCCAATTAATTTGTTTCTTTGATAAGACCACAGATGATGGAAAACCTTTCTATTAATCATTTGTTAACATTACTTATATTCTTTCTGTCATAAAAGTGCATGGTTTTGTCTTGATCTGCTGTTTCACTAGTCGTGTAACAATAAGCTTTTTAACAGGGGAGAAAATCTGAACCTTAGTTTGGGTGAATATCTATATGCTAAGGTGTATTTTATGTATCATTTCATTGATTGCCTAGGCAATACTTTGCAAGGCCATGAAGCATGTGGGTTTAATCCTGAGAAGTCTGCTTTCTGTGAAATTAAAATCATATGTTTCTCCAACTTCAAGATATTTAGAGTTAGATTTTACAAATATATATTCTTTTCCTTTAGAAACAAAAGAAGCAGGTACAGATAATCGTAACATAGTTGACGATGGAAAGTCTCAAAAACTGACTCATGATGACATAAAGGCTTTGAAGGACAAGGGTATTAAAGGACAGGTAAAAATAAGGTTTTGGTGTCATTTCTGTGCTACCTTGATGGTTACATTTTAGTTTATGAAATAGGCTATTCTTTTTATCGGTACATAGACTTCAGTGCTTTTTTTTCTTTGTTCTTCTGCTCAAGTCATGTGTTTCCTAAAGGTCTGTTTTTACAAAAATGCAAAAGCTATTTTCAGAGAGAACTTCCTTTAGGGCTGGCAACTTTGTCAACAGAGAGTAAAGTATGAATTTTATCGGCATCAGAAGTCAGACAAAAAGAAATACTAAAACTGTTAAGGAATACAGCTTATATAATCACCTTTTAGTTTTCTTTGTTTATAAGATTCAAAATACCGTTTATATGTTACAAACCTATTAAAATTGTGTAATAATTAAACTACGGAAGGTGTAGGAAAGGATTATGGATAAATGCCAAAGTATTAGTAAGTAACACTGTGTAACAAATGTACTCTCAGTGTGCCGTGGGCAGTACCTACCAGACACGTGATGCCTGTGTTTTATCTGCACCTCAAGAGATCAGTTCTGTTAGAAAAGGGATTGGTTTTTACCCTGCGCTTTGTCAAAAAGTGAGGCCATCTTAAATGTTAATAAACCATCGCAGCCAGTTCTGTTCTGCACATATTATCAGGCAAAATCCTCTCTCATCTTTGGTTTACCCTTTCTAATAAAAAGAAGAAATTGTTCATGCTTTCATCTCTTTGCATCTTGCTGTTTGCTGCTGCTCTTCAGAGCAGCCGTTCTGCTTTTTCCTGCATTTAATAATGGACGGGTCCAAGGAGTTTAGAATGGTATTTCTTCTGTTTGCGTAGCTGTGCTGCCTGTTGTGTTACCTCTCTGAGAAGAATGTACTAATCCATCTGATAGCTTTGATGTTTTCTATACGTTCTCATTATCCGTGGCAGATGATCACTCTGGCTTTTCTGTATGTCCTCAGCATGTCCGTGCCATACCTCTACGGTACTTTTATTTGAAGTTATTAAAATATCCTATTTTAATAGGATATTTTATTCAGAGTTTGTTAACTCTGGTTTCTGAACTGTAGCTGAATATTCATTTTAAACTGTTATATTAGCAGCAAGAGATACTATTCTTCCATAAATGTCTGGTAAAATCTGAACTCATGTTTGTGAACGACATGTCTTTGTGATGCAGGCTTAGTTTGGAGATGATTTGTTATTTGCAATAAAACAACCTTAGTGTTAATGGGGTTTGATTTCCCTTCACTTCCCAAATCCTTCCCAACTCCTGAGGGATAAGTGTTGGGATGAAGACATGAAGTGGCACATACTCCCAGGGCATTGCCTAGTGCTGCAGCTTCCTTTTGGCTTTTGTTTACCCTAGAGAAATATTCCCCAGTTTCCTCACTGTAAATTATACTGGAATAAATAATTAAACAACAACAACATATGTTGTTGAAACAATAATTAAACAAACAACAACAACAACAAAAAAAAACAACCCACAAAAAACCCCAAACAAACAACAAAACAACCCAGATACGGCATTTAACTTTTTCCAGGAGTAAGGCAAAAAAAGAAAGATGCGCTGTTTCACACTGTTAATAATACATTTTAAGTGTTTGAAGGACTTCAAGAAATAATGGCCTGAAAAGCAGCGATAGCAAGTGAGAAGTGCTGTATTTTGGAGCAGGTTCTTAAAGCACAATGGGAGATGCAGTGTCCACATTGAAAATACTTTTTTTTTTTTTTGTCATTTCTTGCCCCAAACTCCTGTGAAGCCAGGTTATACGACTGGTCTTCCTGCATGTTTAATAGAAACTTACAGTTTTAGCAGTTAAACTGCTCTGTTTGCAACCACCAAAATCGCACTCTGCAGCATTTGTTCTTGTATTGCAGGTATGGAGACAAACCCTGAGCAATGCAAGAATATTTTTGTTGGAGGTCTTAATGGTCAGCTGGAACCTGACAATATGGGGAAGAGCTGGATTGGCAAAGGGAGGAGATTAGAACAAGGAGACCAGGAAGTAAAAACTGGAATTCTGGGAAAACCTGGGAGCTAGAGAAGGAAGAAGTCAGGGGAAATAGTAAATGCTAAGGAGTTTGCCATTGTGCAAGGAGGTGGTACAGGAGTCTAGCACAATTTAGGAGGCAAACGAAATTAACTGGGTACGGGTGATGTCTGATAAATAGCCAGAGTGTATGGGAAGAACTAGCACGAGATGGAAAAAAGACACCCTCAGAGATAGCAAAGCTAAAGTCAGACAAGAGACCCGAAGAGGAAAGCGGCAGTTGGATTAAAGTGAATATAACAGGTGCCATCAGGTTCCTTGGTTTGTTTTTGTAAAATATTTTTGCCCGTAGAGCCTCACACAAGACTTGGGGTACCGTCGTGCAATCCAGTTACTATGGGGAATGTTAGACTGACAGAGTCAGTCAGTTGTTCCATAGTAACTGACAATAAACATGACTGCCTCATTCTAAATACAGGATAATTACAAGTAGCTAATCACTTAAAAAGCAGGGTTGTCTCATTCACATTCAGCATAGGAGAAGGATATTTTCGGTGCTGAGGCTTCACAGCAAGGGCTGAAGTAATGACTTGCTGCTGCTGAAAGGAACAATCCTGCTTTTTCTTCATTTCTGGCCGTACGGGTCTGCCCTCTTAGGAGTTCTGGCACCTACCTGACTCCTTCCTCACAAAATACCCCATTTCCAGGATAAGCATTTTCAATTTTATATTTTTTTGCTGGCATTATGTAGTTAAAAACACTTAGAGACAGAAGTATATGATTAAATTCCTGCACATAGTCAGCGTAGTGCCTCGCTTTTCATGTTGATTAGTAGAAATTTACTTTGCCATTAATGTCAGTAGAAGTTAATGACAGATTGCCTCTACTGGAAGGAAGTATTTTCAGTGTGTTTAAAAAAATACTTTATATGAAATGAATGAGAAATAAATACCAGCTATAATAAAAATAATTTGTCTTTTCCAAGGAAATAGTTCAACAGTTAATAGAGAACAGTACAACATTCAGAGACAAAACAGAATTTGCTCAAGATAAATACATAAAGAAGAAGAAAAAGAAGTAAGTGAATTTTAAAATGTGGAAAACACTTTGTAGTTCTCTAATTTGTTGAGCTTGAAATAAGACTATTCCTATGTGTTTCTTACAGATATGAGGCAGTTATTACAATTGTGAGACCGTCCACTCGCATTCTTTCAACAATGTATTATGCAAGGGAACCTGGAAAAATCAAGTAAGATTTCATTCTGCCTTTTTTTTTTTTTTTTAATAACAGAAAGATATTTTCTTTTTTTTTTTTTTTAATACCTGTATTATACCAGAATATATAATACATTTATTCTGGTCTTCCTGTTAGTGGAACGATTGCAAATTAATGAAACATAATGCAATACAGAAAATTCATCGGTATGGTATTGCAGGAAAGAGGAAAACTCTTTTTACATGCAGCATCAGCTTTTACCATTTCCCTGCCACCACCATCTTGCTAATTACCTAGGTAGACTGAGGCTCTGCATTTTCAGAGGTATCTCTTACCTGGTTTTGGTCAGGGGCCTGTCGTCCCTGCTTTCTGGCTCAGTAATCAAAATAACAAGCCACCTACCAAAAGCAGGATTTTTTTTGTCTTTAATGGGTTAGGAATTCAAAATCATATTCAGTCAGAAGTCTCTAGGATTTACAGACATGTGGTGAACATTGAGGGGTGGGGGCAATGATGACAGAGATCTAGCCACATCTGATTTTTTCTTCTCCTTCCCCCATCTCCTTCCCTTGGCTTTATTTATCTGTTAGGATTAGTTGTCATTTCCTTGGCCGTCAGGGAGTCTCTTCAGTGCAGGTGCTGCTGTCAGTAGAGTTGGGGTTTGATCCTGGATTGCAGGTGGTGCCTGCAACTGCGAAACAGATGAAAATCACTCAGGGTACATTACTGGATTAGGAAATGCATACAAATACCATTTATTCTTTACAAAACTCACATGTCAGAGTAAACAAACAAACAAAAAGATAAGTTTAAAAATTACTTTGACTGGCTTGGCATGGGATGTGTGCTTTATTATGTGCACCCTACTTCATATCCTACTTTTGCTATTTTCTTTGTAAACCTAAATACGTGTTCCCTGCTTGTTGGCTTTGGTTCTAGTCCTTCTTTATTACCAGATGGTTAATTACAAGTTTCCCCATGGTGACTCTGAAGACCACTGATGCTGTTCCTGAAAATCTACCAGTAATCCAACTTTTTTTGGCAGGCTCCTCAGCTGATACGCAGCATGTCTAACTCCAAGAAAACTAATTTGGTATTTCTTAAAACCTTCTGTCTTCTAGCCACTTGCGATATGACACCCTAGCTCAGATGTTGACTTTAGGAAACATCCGTGCTGGCAACAAGATGATTGTAATGGAAACATGTGCAGGCCTTGTGCTGGGCGCGGTGATGGAGCGAATGGGAGGTCAGTAACAACACAGTAGCTTTAGTAATGTACAGACTGAGGGCTTCCTTGAGACTTAAGAAGTAGGCATTGTTGTGATACTTTTAAAAGGCAGTACTTCAAAATACTGTCTCAGTTTTTAAAATCTACTTTTGATGTCTCCAGTATTCAGAGAGATACTTGGTTTTCCACTGGAGAAAGTTGCATTTTGCATATTTCAGTTGGATTTATTTTTTGCTATTTAAAAAACCCATGAAATTTGAAGTTGATACCACTGTATGTAGATGTATATTAGTTTCTGTCTTGGCATCATGACTCTGTGCTCAGAAAAGGCTGTAAGGAGCTTGTATGCAGATTCTTCCCAGGCGCCTGGGAAGTCCAAGAAAAGGAACAGCAGAAACCAGGACTGGTAAGACTGGAATCCAGACAGCCCACAGCACTGAAGATACTGTCATTCCCCTCATTCACTGTGCCAGCTGCAAAATGTGTATTTTAAAAGTAGTATATGACATTTTCTTGAGCACATTCTAGAAGTTCAACTTGGTTCTTCTTTCTCAAACTCAGTTAATTAGTTTTATTGTAAGTCAAACGCACTAGACAGAGGTGACAATTATATCCCAGAATCCTGGAAAAGTAGAAAGTGTGATGTAATACTGCACGCCCTGATGTGCTGTGCGCTGGCCGAGAAGCACACAGGCAGTTACACTACAAATCAGTTATTCGTTTCAGCAACTTTTGGCCATAGGGATACTTTCTGAAGTAAATTAAATAGGATGCAGTTCCAGTATAACTACTGCAAGTTCTTTTTAGTATGTTTAAACATCTGGCATCTCTGCAGAGGGGCAGTCTGGATGTTGAAGAAATTCTCTGCCTATTAATGCAGCTGAAATTAGCTTTTATTTATTATTATCAAAACCGCTCCCTATTGCTAAGTAAGAAATAGTGTAGAAAATCTGTATTTTAAATTCTTAATTAAATTATCTTTTCTCAGTATTTGTCATTACTTACACGTTTTGTGCTCATCCTAAGTACATGTTTCGTACAGGCATAATCTTTGAGTTACCTTGTCCTTCTGAGTTGCAGTAACTGTTGTCCTTCCAATAAAGATTTTCCACCCTGAGGCGTAGTTCAGCAGCCTGTTAAATTTGATGAAGGCTAGATTAAGAGCAGGCAACTTACTTACCTATTCATAAAGGTATGCTTCATTGGTCCCAGAAAGCCTGGCTTTCCAGTGGTTTTGATTCTTTTGCTCTCATAGGCTACGGATCCATTATTCAGATGTATCCAGGAGGGGGACCTGTTAGAGCTGCTACCAGTTGTTTTGGATTTCCAAAACCTTTTTTCGATAATCTTCATGAATTTCCTCTCAGCAAAGTGGATAGTCTCCTCTCTGGGACATTTTCTACAGAGACTCTGCCTTCAGAACCTGAAGATAACACGCTAGTGGAACAAGAAAGCAATGGATTGGGTGATGAGAAGCAGACTTCCCTACAGGAAACAGAAGAGGAATCTGCTACTGAAGCACCTATGGAGATCAACCAAACAGAAGAGCAAGAAACGATGGACATTAATGCTGAAGATGTAGACTTTAAAGAGAACAAAGAAAAAGAAAAGGAAAATGTAAGAATATTTATTGTGGCTATTCAAGTTTTACAATGTCTATATGCTTGAAATTCTGCTGGCTGAATTAGACATGCTGACATACATCTCCTTCAGGTGTTAGAGTGGAACTGTGGAAGTGGTCTTTTGTCTTAACATTAAGCCAGCTAAGATGCAAAAATGAAAATTCAGTCCGTGCAATAAGGATCCATATAGAATTACCAGTTAAAGTGCAAATTATTTGTTTTGTTGTTCAAAGGTTCGGGAAAAGCAAAGAAAACAATGGGAGAGAAGGAAAAAGCTAATAGAAACTGCTGCTTTGTTGAGAGAGAAGAATGCTGATGGGTGAGTTTGTAGTCTGAAAGGTCTTCTGTTTGAAAACGCATCTACAGAAAATTATTTCCTTTGAAACAAATAAAAGCTTTGTTTTAAAAATGCCCTTTTCTTATATTTTTTTAATAATTACAGGCAAGCAGTCAACCCAGGTGTGTCTTGGGTCATGTTTGGTTCTTACCTGGTTGAGATTTTTTGTTATTTAAATGGTTTGAAATTTCATGATTTAAAAGTCATCGTTTCCTGACTAGCTATGCATAAACATAACAAAAAAAAAAAAAAAATCTATCCAGAGAAACACAATCCAAGTAGAACTTAATCAAAATGACTGCTGCTAAAAATCACACTGTTCTAATTGGCAAAGTAGAACCGGAGGTTTTAAGTTTGTAAAACTGGAACTAATCTTGTTGGTTTGGGCTTCGATTACTTGGTTTGTTTTCAGAAACTCACTTATTTTTTACACAGGAAGAAGCACGTAACTTCATTTTACCTGCTTTAGTCAGGATCGATTGTTCCCAAGGATCAATTTAACATAAAGATTTAGTATCAGAAATTTAAAACAAAGACGGCAAATATATTCCCAGAAATTCAGCCCCACAATAGTGTGAGAGCACTTGGAGGTTGTGACTTTTTCATAATGTTCTTAGCAAATGCTGAAGTGACTTGAGTTAATCAAGTAACATTGATTTAGTTAATTTAATAACATTCATATTCATTTCTTCCTCATAAAAATATTGGCTCACTGGGAATAAAGCCGCTCTGCTTGGATATATTTTAACACACATTTACTGGTGATGTTTATATGCTCGTGTATAATTTTTGTTTTTATTATTACAAAATGTTTTAACTCGCCTAGCACATTTGAGTGGTAGAATTAGCCTTTTCTCTGTATATGCAGAGACAGGTCATCCCATGTCCTCTGAAGCAATAAAATGTTCAGGGAGGCTCGTGGAAGCACTGCACATCTGAGTGGCAGCAGCAACGCCACTGGCGATGCCAGGGGATGACCATTAAGCTGCCTGCACAGTGGCCGTGTTTCGTTACGGTTCTACTGCTGTCCCCAGCACCCGTCGTCATAATTAATGTCTGTGCACTGTCTGGCAAAGGGAAAACTAATATTTGACTTCACTTGATTCTTCCTGTAGTGTAAAACAGTCTATTCAGTTGTTGATTGAGTTGAAGGAAGCCTAATGAGTATTGGTCTCTTGTTCGCTTGCTTTCAATCACTTGTATACTTCTTTTGTCCTTTGTGATGCATGAAAGCTGTAACAAATTATATACTTGAAGGGATGAGTGATTTCTTGCTTTAGGAAGTCTTCAGCACCATGGGGGGAAGAGAAGTTTATGGTTGCCTGAAGGCATCGTCCCCGATTGCTCAGTCAGGATCCCCTCTCTTTAGGAATCGTTTATAGCTGACCGGTTGTTTAGGTCAGGAAGCACAGGGTACATACACTGCAAAACCAGGAAAAATTGGCATGGAATAAAGAAGCGCTTCAGATGAACAACTTGGCAGGTGAGAAGCAGCAGGCAGGTGAGATAGGGGTTTGGTTTGGTTTGGTTTGCAAGGGAGAAATGGGGAAAGGATAAGTAAAAGCCAGTTAACACTGGAGGTGGGGAGAGAGATTAGGACTTACCATCAGGGTAAAGAAAAACTGGTCGTTACGTAAAGATGGGCACCAAATTTAGGACAGTTACTTCGTGAGGTCCTGAATTTTTACAGTATTTACTACTTAATGTAGAAGATAATTTTAAATAAAATTATGTCTTCTGTGCTGTTATGTGGTAAAACAGTCCTTCTGGTACACCTATTTGTTCAATTCCATTTATGAGAGTTGAATTCTGTCCTAGGTCTTTGAGGGGGTAAAAAAGGAAGACACTCATTAGAGATTCAGTCTTCTTCTAAAGACAACTTTTTCAAGATAGACTATTACACTTTTCTGATACAATGAAAGCAGCCGTGGGTTTATAGACACTCCATGGGTTCAGAATTAGACTGCCCCCCCTCTCTCTACCTTCCTCTGCCCTTCCTCCTCTTCCTTCTTCCCTCTCAGACGTTACATTAACTGCAACTGGCCAGCCTGCCTGCTGACAGCAATATGTGCTGCCATATGAGAGAACAGAAATGGATTTTTCAGTCTCTCTCATCTCTCACTTACCTTCCTGTTGTCTGGCAGAGCTCCTGGCAGCGTCAGTGCAGCGCTCCAGGCCTGCTGAGCCACGGGCTGGAGTCTTTTTTCCTTGTGGTCCACTTGGTTAATTAGTGAGCGCAAACTTTTTGAAGATTGGAACTAGGGTTAAATCTGTAGCCTGCAAGGCCATGGCCAGCAAAAAAAACTGAGGTGGAAACAACTGTAAAAGAATTGTCTCATCCCCTTCTTTCCATTGTGTTTAGAAAATTGAACGTCAATTTTTACCTCCCTTTTGTTAAGTAAATTTGATGGTATCTCCAGTGCTGTACATTCCCCTGGAGGACAAATGTTAATTAATTGATGGGTCTTTTCATATAGTAACTGTATGCTAGAGTAGTAGTTTAATTGTAATTAGTCCATTCTTTGTGCAGAAGTACAACTTATGAACTTACTGAATCTTAACCATTTCTGCGCTGTGTGGAAGAAATACAAATGTACTTGCTGATTGATGTTACTGTAATAATCCATTACCAGGGAAAAAACAATTTCAAAACAAAAGTCACTAACTACATAATTCCCTTATAAAATACAACAGTGATTCTGAGTATTTTCTCATTTGCTCACTAATGTAGTCACTGCAGACTTTTTTTTTCAATTAAAACTTTTTACATTTGTTACTAATGGATTATAATTATTTCCAATTAATTAATTCAGTTCCAAACTCCACTTTTTTGATGCCAGGAAAACCCTACACACACACACACACACACACACACACACACACTCTCCCCCCTTTATTGTATTGGTCACTGCAGAGATACACAAGTGGAAGCTAGAGCTTCAACATTTAGGATAAACTTTCAAAGACCAAGAGGGAAAAGTGGACTAACAGAATAACTTTAATATATGCTGTCTCAGTAGGATCCCAATTTACTTGTACTTTCATTCTGGCCTTGGTATAGCCACACAGTTTCAGTTAAATCATTCGGTCTGCATGGGAATACTCCAGGTGCGTGTGTGTGTGTGGGGGGTACATAATTTCTTTTTTTAGCTATATGTAATCCAGGTACTCTTTGCTATAAAACACTAAAATATTACAAAATCCAAAGAAACATACTAAATGTTAACTATTGACAACGACCCCCCCAAATTAGCTAACAGTATGATCTGCAATAGCTACTGCTAAGAAATGAGGTTTTAAGATTCACTAACACACTGTAGAGGAAAAAGATACCACACTGAAACATATTTCCTGTCAGGAAAAGACAGTAAAATTGAGGATGGGAAGCTGTGCCTCTAGTTGTACATTCATATGAATTATAAAGATTAAAAAAAAAAAAAAATACAGTGTTCAGCACTGATAGAGCTATATGTCTCTTTCAGGCGGGTAAGACGAGATTGCATAATGTGACTGGTAATAAAGATGTACGTGTAATGTAAAAATAGGTGTTGTGCAAAATAAAGAAGAGTCTTTCCCCTCATTTGTCCTAAAATGCAAGGGATGCTTGACCATCATAATTTGCGAACTTTATTCTTTTTCAGCTTCTACTTTGCAGATATTATGTAATTTTAGTATTTGATTAGAAAAAAAAAAAAAGACAAATCAGCTTCACAGTGCATGGAAGACAAATATAATTTTAATATAATTGCTAGTATGGCTGGTTTTATGTTTGTTTTCTGCTTCCTCAGATTTTCCAAGCTTAAAGAGTATGTGAACATACAGAAAAAAACCCAAAATTGCATTCACCACCCAGAATGTATCTTTGTATCCAAAGATGGATCACAAGTTCAAGTACATTAAAGGCCTGGCGATGAAAAATAGACTGACTTGATTTGGATGCAGTGAACTCAGCAACAGGTAAAATGTCTCAGCACATACATTGCTAAACCAGGTTTACACATTTTGCAAAAGAAAGCTTACCTGCCCATTTTTTCCCAGTTCCATTTCAACTATTGCAACAGGAGTGTTTATCTGATCAACGTGTCTTGACTGTGACTTCAGATCCACTCGCCAGTTCATGTTTTTCAAGACATTATCCCAACGGCTTTGATTGATCAGGCTCTCGTGGATCTTTATTCGGTGGTTCTTCCAAAATTTTGCAATGACTGCAGCTTGATCTGATGTGATGCCACCTTGTTTTTTGGTTTGGGCGGTGAGAAAAGCCTCCAGCTGATTCAAATCCATGTCTGCTGAAGCAATTGACTGTAGGGAAAATAGGAGGAGTAAAAGGGAAAAGCTTGCTCAAAAATGCTCTTTAACCATCTACCAAGAGGTCACATCTTTAGGGTTTTACAAATATCTGATTTTAAAGGAATAGTGCAAACAAATCCGGGTTATGGAAGCAACCTTACAGCTTTCATTAAAATTCAATTTGCAAGTGCTTACCACTTATCCCAGATTCTTGTCCCCGGACAGCAGAGGGTAATGGATCGGTAACAGTGATGAGGACACTGGGAGCGCCTTTGGGAATGCAGTACTGGATAACAAGGAGGCTTCTCTGCCTCCTTGGCAGGTCTGCCTGACCCTCTCCCCCACTATGCCCCAGGAATACCCAACTGGTCACTGCAGGGAACACCGGGTCAGGGGACTGTTCTGATGGTCGATTACACAGGAAAGCTGGGACAAATACCTGCCCCTGGCCAAGGCTGAAACAAATGACGAGACATTCCGCCTCGCTGCAACATCCACAGCTTCATCTGCCACCTCCACACCGCAGACAAGGAAGCAAAACTGGTAAACGCTGCAGCAGTAAAGCAGGGTCTGCAGCACTGGCCGCAGCAGCATGCTGGCTGCAGCAGCAAAAGCACGAGTCGCCCAAGGGAGAATCCGTGTGTGTGAGGCAATCCTTAAAAATGCAACTGCAGCTTCTTCCGAAGCACTGGTGAACTCTGTCAGGCTAAACGCTGTATTTGTGTTTTGCAAGGGAGAGTAAGGGGACACTCACTCCTCCTCCCTGTGCAGCAACAGAAATTATACTTTCCAACCCCCCTTTTTTATGAGATAGCCCATTTTCCCACCTATTTTTCCAAAGCCGATAATCTACAGCCTTAAATTTGCATTGTCTAACTGGCAATGGTTGCTAAATATGGCCATGAAGGGAGGAGAAGGACAGGAGGTAGAGAGAGGAAACCGTGGCTAAGCTTCTCCATCATAGATTCAAGCAGACACTTTTGCTTCATTCTCACCCCAAAATGGATGCAGCTTATCCTAAACAAACATGCCAGCTCCAAGCACACACCACTACGGAGCACAGCAAAGTGAAGCACAGCTGACACTGCAATCCTTGGGATTTGCCTCAATTTAATTTTCCTTGACATGGTATTCCTACTGCTGTACTCCATACGTTCAGGGAAATAAGGTTCTCACTCTTGTTAGCCAAGGGGGTGACACCATGTGGCTTTTGGCTGGATGCACACTGTGTGCATCACGCTGCTTATCTGCAAAGCTGGGTATTGCTTATCTAAAAGCCAAGGGGTTAGAACTCCATGAGCTTGACAAGGATGCAAGACTGGCTGTTTCTTTCCAATTCATCAGCAATGAGCTAAAATATTGTCAGTGGGGTGAGCTACCAGCAGGTTTTGCTGCCTTCCTCTAGACCAGACAGATGTCAAAGCATGCGACACCAGTCACATCAGGAGTGGCCTGAAATAAAACTGCAGGTTAAAAAAAAAAACAAAAAAAAAAAAAACAAACCACCACCACCACAAGAACTAGCACAAAATGAAGAGCTCACCCATCACACAAGTGACAGAGAACAGCAGCAGGTTGGCTGCTCTGAAGTGAGTAAAGCCAACACCACGACCTGCTCAGCCTTCAGCAGATACACCATCACATCCTCCTTATCTTGAGGGTTTTTTCTGAGAAAAAGGCAAACCTGAAACACACCCCCCCCCCCCCAAAAGTCCAACAAACAACTTGTGATCTACATCCATTAGCTGCCTTTTATCATCCAGTGTCTGAGAGATTTCTCCTGAAGCTTTTGTAGTATTTTCTTTAAGAGGGATGTGCTGCCTTCCCTTGCTCTCACGATAGATTAGCTGCCGTCTGTTACAAGATCGAGAACAGAAATGGCAATCCACTCCAGAAGTAACTGCTCGGCTCTATCGGGATTCCAGCTTAATAGGAGCATCTGCCAATTTATTATAAAATTTGAGACGCCTAGTGCACCGCTCTGTCTTTTCTATAGGGCACTCACCATATCTGTATATATTGTTAGCTTTTATCATGAAGATATTTAACTTGAGGTAATTACCTGTAATACCTAATTATGCTGTAAGTGAAAAAAAACACTTTTCATTTTCAAAAGGAAAGCTATTTAGACTTACAGTCCTTTCCTAAATCCATGTCTTACATGAACAGGACTGTCTATTAGCAGCAGTGTGGAATATTTTCTGTTTTAGTGTTTTTCATATCACTACATCTGTGTGGGGATGTGTTTGCATGTTGTGTGACACCAGCCACCACATCACACCTTTTGTGTTGGTTTATGTGAATGGGGGGAGGAATGGAGGTGACGCAACAGCCCCTGGCCCCAGCACCTTATGTAAGCCCTTTCAAGACCAAGATCAAGTTGAGATGCAGACTTTCTTCTCAGTTCAGCTGTGCAGAAAATTGCCTTCTGCTTTATTGCTGCACGGGAACCAAGAACATAAACTGCGTCCCCTGCACTGAATGAAGCAAAGGTATCATAGAGAAACATCTAACCTGCATTAAATGTGAAACTAATGCAGATTCACTGGATCAAATAACCAGGTAACCCTTTTCTAGGCTTCATTTTATAACCTTCAAATATTTCGCATTTGTAATTCTTTGCATTTTTTTTTTAAACCTCACCCCCTTCACAACAACTCTTTTTGCAAGATGCAGCAAGATTTCTGGCAGTGCTTGGCTAAACTGATAAAAACCAGACACGAAATTCCTTATTGTGCTTGATACATGATATAAATCTGACTTTTAAGTGTATCCCAAAGAGGAAGTTTATGACCAAGCTCGCAGTTTTAAGCACAAGGAAGACAAAATAATATTACTAAGGCTTATACAGGACAGTTAAACTTGCTTGTTTGGCAAAGATCATCAACAGAACAATGATCAGTTAAGATCCAGCATGAGCTACATTTAAAAACTCTGTACATTCATGTACCATAAGCACCCTGCCACAGTTTGCTACCAAAACACTATCACATAAAACAGAGGAAGGAAACCAGGTATCATAATTAGCAAACATTTATCTCTCTCGGATACACAGGAACAGGTACACACAATATGGATCACTTTATACTGTACATGTACACAGCTAAGAAACCAGGAGATAACCACCATACCGTATTTTGGTGGAGTATAATGCATGCTTTAAATAATATACAGATAAAGTCCATCATTCAGACTAGAATCTCACTCAGCTTGGAAATATGACTACTACTTAAAAACTCACGGGTTTTTCCTTAAAATAATTAATATAAATTTTAATTGGAAGTGGGTACAAACAATCATTGAGTTATACTTCAGTATAGCTACCATCAGCTCTAAAGGTTTTCAAGTCACATAAGAACAGCAACTCATTTTAATGTTCTTTTTCATCTTAACTTGGAAACATTTCGCTGTGGACAGGAAACGTGATATAAGTAACAAAGATTGAGAGAACAATTCACTGATCTTCCACCTCCTTTGTTGTACGAACACTTAATACAACTAATTCTTTAAACAAGTGTAGTTCTACTCCATTGCTCATATGAATGACCACAGTTAAATTTCAGACTTTGTGTTTTAAATGCTTTTAAGTAAGAAAAACATTTGAGGAAACATTTTCATTTAACTTGACAAAAAATAGTATTTCCAGTCATACTCTACACAGCATTACAAACAGTTCTTTCCATTACTTTTAACAGTGGTCATGTATTACATAGAATATCAGATTACAGTGAATACACCTTACTGGTATTTCTAAGGATTGATCTGAAGTTAAAACAGGAGTGGTTCTTCTGTGCCTATAACTGAAGACAGACAAAACATATCTGATTATAGGTCTCCCTCTCTCGCTTTTCAACCCCAGGAGCTTTGGATGAGCATTTACCACCAGCAGGACAATGACCAGCTATTGTCCAGCTCCCACAGCACTGATAAAGATGGTTGCACTGCTGGAATAAACAACCCAAATGCATTTCAGCACCGTAACTGGAAACTTAAAGGTGCTGAAATCTGTTTTATCCATCAGCTCCTACAGCTGAGTCACTGTCAGGATTGGTTCAAGACGGATACATCTCCTTAAAGCCAGGCAATTAGTCCAGGCAGACCTCAAAGTGCAGGATCTCCTGCTGTACCCTCACTCACTGTACTCTCAGTGACACATGCCACTATATTACACAGACTTTATATTCCGAGCTATGTGTGTGTGCATGGCGATACCGCCTTAGTTGTTTCCCACCTTGTCTCTTCAGCAGCCCTCAATGAGCATGCTTTTGCAAAATGCCCTCTTTTTATTTACAGACTGTCCCATCTCTACACAGTTCTATAGCACGTCAAGAAGTGCTGTGTTAAAAGTATGATGACATTGAGGAAAAAAATTATGTAGGACCAAATTCCAGTTTTCATTGGGAATCACAAATGAATTACTATTTCAACATAAAAATCTTCAATTAACAAAACAGAAAAGTTTCCTAAGAATATATATAATCATAGCTGTTCTAGGACAGCGAGTAATCGCATTTTTACATTACTACGACTATTCACTCAAGCGACTAAGGAAAACTTGCCTATTTTCAAAATTAGAGCCTGTAAGAGAACAGCATTAGTTATTAAAAACTTCCTCACGTTATGTATTTTGAGATTTGTTAAAATAATACTTTTTTCTTCCCCTGGGAAGTACAGTTTATGGACAGCATGTCATACTACAAGCACGCACATCCTACTCTCAGCAATTGGCTACAGCTTTTTTGGCTGCCCAGAGGCTGGGCAGATGCTTTTAAACAAGAAACAGTTTTGGTCATACTGACTTCTCCTTGCTTTCACCTTCAATACATACCCACTATGTCTCCAAATACAACTCAGACAATAAAAATATGATTTCAAATACTATTTCCTTAATGGAACAATATTTGATAATCTGGAGAGTTTTGTATTGGCGTAATTAGATCCATTAGACATGTGCCTGTGTACACAGAACAGGAAAACAGACTTAAATTCATTATCTCTTCTGAGAAATAAAGCCTGACAATCATGCAACACCAGCGAGAAAAAACAATTGGTAAATCCCACTGGGAAAAAAGAACACACTTCACTTCCAGAAATACAACATTACTTGTCAACCATTACAGAACAGCTCCAAAAGCTGGCCATGCCAGCATGTGTAGGCATTTCCTCCAGCTGACCCTCAAAATTGCAGGCTGCTGCCAGCCTGTAGCACAAAGAAATCACAAGCTCAAAGAAACAAACAATTCAGTGCTGTGTACCATACTAATGAGCCCACCTCTTGAGGTTTTGGGGAAGTGGGAGTGAGGCTATTCCTGTATCACAGCCCTTGTAATTTGGATGCTCTTAGAAACACAACGTTGAAAACTGTTTCTCAGAGCCTTGGAGCACATGCGCAGGGAGGGGGGACCAGCTGCAGAGAGGAGGAACATGTCAAGGGACCCCGCTCAGCCAAAACACCTTGATCACACAAAGCCAATTCTTGTTAACATCAGGATACTATGCATTCCTTTCACTTATCACCCCTAGAAGAAAACCTCTACTGAATTTGGGGCAAATAGGGGGTGCCTGCTGCACGCAGCTTTGGGGTGTGCAGTTTCTTTCTCCTTATCTAAGAAGAGAGGTAACCCTGGGAGAGCAGGGCAGGAACAGAAGCAGCTCTCAGCATCTTTGGGCCTAACGGCACGCATGGGTCCTAGTGACACTAAGCTATTTGTCAAAGTTAGCTCAGCATGTTCTTCTGCAAATAGTAGCTTCAGACAGGAGGAATTTGAGAATATCTCTGCAACCCTGTGGTTTCTGGGTCCTCCTTTGTAAGCATGTAATGATCAGACTCTCTCCCAAGGGCTGCTGAGATATCCAGTCCTATAAAATAAATGAGCTGTTCCCATAGATGTTCCCTGGATCTTAGTCCAGTTGACTTTCCCACGTTTCTGGAGACAGTAGTTTTCAACTAGTTGGTAGGTTGTGCTTCACAAACACTGTTTATTAGAGTCCAAGAGCTCTCCTGAGAATGAGAATTAAGATAAAATTAGATACAACAGCCTGCTTGTCTGCACTTGAAAATGGTGATCCATCTTTCAGGAAAAAAAAAGAAAGCTAAAGGCCTTCTGCACCCCCTGCAAATTTGTAAGCCAGAAATCACAGGTGACCTTAACACATTTAGTATTTCTACATCAAAGCAGAAAGATTTTGACTAATCTTTAAGTCTTCATCTAACCCATGGGAGATGACAAAAATTTCTTTTATTCAAGTTTCATACTATGTCCCAGTGTTATTTTAGTTTGCTCCTTATTGAGCTGTAATACACATTTAAAAGTGAAACTGTTAATAAAAAAGAGTTAACTGTGAATCATTAAGAGGATAATAATATACAGATCTAGTTTAAAACCTGTAGTTTAGGGTTTTTTTAGTGTGTAATAGATCTTCTCCAACAACTATTTCTTATTCCAACCTGTAAAGCCTATTTATTTATTGCCAAGGAGACACCAACAAGGTCAACGGACATTCAGTAGACTTGCAAATATTTTTAAATTTGAGTTATTCTGATTTTCATGAAGCCTTCTTCTTGGACAGAAAGACTCACAGCAACAAAAAAATTACTAAACTGCTACTGCAGATGGGAAAAATGTGTGTGCATGATGAAGTTTCAGGCAAAATTACACCCTTCCTGCATTTCTAATCTTTTTAAGCTTCATTCCACCCAGACTTGTCAACTGCGCACATGGAAGATAAAACTCTTCTCAGTGGGTTGCTTCCATGCTTCTTGGCTGACTCCTCTATTTTCTCCTTCAAGGTTCCCAGATTCCCACCAAGCAGAAACCCCTCAAGCCCCTATCTTTTTTTTTCTCTTTTTTGCATACAAGCTCACCAAACCCAATGTTCTCTGCTAAAATTACTTTTTCATTTGAACATGAAGTTCAGTAACAGGGGAGTAGATATTCAGCTATTTTTGGCCTAGTTTACAATTGAATGCAAAAGAGATCTCAGCCTTAGTTTTTAAAAGCTTCAGAAGTGACCACACCACTTTTTTCTCCAGCCTGCCTCTGCCATTAGTTTGTGTGTCTGCTAGAAATGACCAGTTTGAACTCATAATTCCATAAAACACCACTTCCTAAATTCATTTGCAGGAGGTGTCATTTTTCTGCGGTATGAAGACTCATTTGATGACAAAGGAGGATGAAAGGTTGATTAAAATAGGCAGCCACCAGATGAACCGCAACCTGAGCCATGCTCCTGTGGTCAGATTGTGCTTCCTGCAAACCTGCTGTGCTGAGCTCAGAAAAATGGCTCCCATACCCCAGCCCCATCCTAAAAAAACATCTTTAGCTGAAGGAAAATTAAGAATCATCAAGATTACTCTCTCTGGACCTACTTAAAGACTCTGTGTCTAGGCTTTATACCACTTACAGAGCAAGAATAAATTAAAAAACAACCAGCCAAACAAACAGAAAAACAGAACAAGTCCACCCACTTATAACATTAGTCATATATAAATCTCCAAACAATGCCTGCATAGTCAGATTACGAATACATACTAAAAGCTTGGAATTTAAGCAATAACATTAAAAAAAGCAACCCCATCCCCTTCCCGAATAATAGTTTCCAAACCACTTAAATTATTTAAAATAGAAAGAGGAAGAGATGTACAAGAAAAAAGGCAGTGGAAAGCACTTCTCAGACAGCACAGATAGGCATTGAACATGCTAGAGGGAGATAAAACAGAGAACCAAAAAAATAAGGAAATGTTCTATTAATAGCAGATATACTCGCAACTAGAAGGGTCAAATAAGAGGATTAAAAATATAAATATATTAAAATTAAAAATACAAATATAGAATTTTCTATCCTGACCTGTACTCAGCTGAATTACAGCAAAAAAATCCCAAGCTTTGCTATCAGTTTTCTCCCCACTTGAGTCAAAATGCTATGCTTTAGAAAGCATTCTGCTACTTGGAGTGGAGGCAAAGAAACATCACATTTCCAGTAGTTTGTAAACATGCAGCCATGTTACAGACAAGATTGACAGGTTCTACCTTCTTCAAAAGGAATGAGCACACACATGTGCTCCCTGAACTACGTTTCAGCAGAAGCAAGTTGTTTTCTTGCAGAATGTATAAATCTTTGCAGGTTACATTCTTCAGCCTAAAATGGTTTCTTCTTCAGTCTTCCTGAAAGAGCTGGATTCAGAAATAAGAACTCTCAACAGATGGAAGCCATTTAATGTAGTATTGCTAAACACAGAAAGGAAAATAAAAGGCAAAGAGAAATTCAGATAGGACAGAATAAATACCAGATGGTAAATAAAAAAAATAAAATAAAAAAATCAAGGGAAGGAATAAAAGCAAGAAGAGACAGACAGACAGAGTGAGAGTCCCGGAATTGGTGACACGACCCGTTGTTCCCTTAAGAGACCACGTGGTCAGCCTTTTTCCCTGCTCCTCTGTTCTCTTACAATAAAATAAATGAGAACTGTGTTTATCAGGTTTCTACAATCATTCTGGGAAAATTACTTGCTGCCACAGACTACTGCTTCATGTTTAATCTCGTTTCACTGAGAGTTAAAAATAGGAGTTGGAGCAGCTCATATTTTGAAGGCACGTGGGGAAAAAAAAAAAAAAAAGTTGTAGCCCTACCCTGAGTGCAGTAACGGTGCAGACATTAGCAGAGTTTATTGTAGCACTCTGCAGGCAGCGATCCTGTCAGTGAAATCAGGCAAAGCACAAACTTGCTTTGCTGTAAACCAAGCACAGAAAACAATTAGTCAGCACGAATTAATTTTCACTTTTACTCAGTGTATCTTGATTGTTTGCATTGTAAAAGGTAACGATTAACTCGGCTAATTTTCCCCTTGGTTTACATTTGGGCATCAGCTCCAGCAGTGAACAACATGAAATATAGGAGTCACACCCCTCAGCTGTATGATGTCTTGCCATATACTCTGATTTGAAGCCAAATTCTAACTCTGGATTCTGCTTTTCTTCCTTTCGCAGCACTACTGTGTATTACCTGTAGCAATAGCTGGAGTTACATTTTTCTACCTGAAAGGAGAAGAAGAGTTTCTGCACTCCTACACCAGGCTCACACCACAGCATAGCACTGATTTAGCTCGGAACCCCACGGACACATTTCACAGCAGCAAAGAGATGAGCAAGCAAAAGAGACAAGTTTACAGACTACACAGTTTCAAGGGAAGCAAGGAAGTGTGCTTTACCATCTGGTCATTCATTACCTATTTTGACAATTTGTGTTACACATTGACAGGTCTGACAGGCGAGAGGTAAGCTTCCAGTCTCAGGATACCAGCCAGCAGGTCTTCCTTTTGGCATGGATGGAATGGTTCTCCCTCCTGTCAGCTCAGTGAAATATAAAACACATTCCCCCAAACCAGTAGCTGCCATGGTGGTTGTTAACAGCTGAGCCTTTACGAGGAGGAAAGGTGTAGCAGGTCAAACTCTTCACTGTAAGAATCACAGCTGCTCTGTAAAGGTCTCTGCTCCATCCCTGGTGCTGGAAAAAAAGACACTTGATTGGGAGCAAACCCCAAACCAGAGAGAGCTCAGAAGAAACCATCCCTCACTTCCCCATAAAGATTTAAGTACCATTTGCTGTATCAAAAATGCTCTTAGGACTAAATCTAATAAATGTTTTTTGGGGAAAAAAGGCTAAAGACTTAATGAAACAGTCAAAATATCAATCTGAAAGTATTCTTCAATTACATTAAATATCACTGACTGCTGTAATTACCCCAGAGGGGGTTCTCTATTTCTATCAAGTTAGGCTCCTGACAAAGTCATCTATCAGTAGAGTTGGCCAAATCATCAGGTGTTCCAGTGAGCTTGTAGGAACAACTCCATACCTCTGTGCCTCCAAAGACACCATGCACTGCTCTCCAGAGCTGTTCATGCACAAGAGTGGTTTGCAGAGCCTGCAGACTCATACCACCAGTGAAAACTCTTTGCTGATGAACAAAATCTGACTTTAGATTTCACCATCGCCGGCCTTAAAAGGTAAAAACTTCAGCACTCAAATGCTCCAAGACACTGCAGCCCATGCCACCAAACTTAATTCAATTAATTTTTCCCATGGCTTTTCTTTGGCTTTTAGTCAAATTGGGGGCTACTTATATTCAGTAAACTCCCTACCACTCGTCCACACGAACTAGGAAATTTCTCCAGTGCTTTCTTTTCATTACAAGACTTTATAGATTTCCTGACACATCATAAACTGACATGTCATAAAACGAATCTTGTGAACAAAAGCACTCTCCCTGACAAGCAAGGAACAACCGGCACTCTTTTAAACCTGGTTCACAACAAGCCAAAGCCAGACCCCTCTCTTCCGATTGTTCAGGAGACTTTATACAACAGACACAAAACAGAGGCACGTACGCGAAGGAGGCGCATCCAGTAACCGATGGGAGAAGAGTCCTTCTGCAAAGCTGCATCAGCCACTCATGCCTTCGGGCTCCTTGGAGTCCTCAAGAGAGAACCATCTTGGAGGTCTCAAGAGGTCTGGAGAACAGCACAACAACCTCTTGAAGACCCATCAGGAACGCGCAGTTCCGGGGGTCCATGCACCTCACCCGTGACACTGGAAAGAGAACCGTGGGGCCGTGCTGCAACACGCCAACCAGACTCAGAGCCACAGCTCAGCATCTTCATCCGAGGCGATGTATAAAAACTGAGTCACTGAATGCTGCTAGAAGGGCACTCAGTTCTGACCCCTCATCTCCGCATGCGTGCGTAGATATTTTGTAAACATGTACACGTGAGTACCATATGAGTATCAGAATACCTACTAAATAATACCACACTGCCTAAATGTGCCATCTCTTCTGCAGAAAAGGGGAGTTACACGTATTTTGCTCACTTCAAAAAAGGAAAAAATTGAGCTTAATGAAAAATGCAAAAGAAATTATAATGAGTTCAAATGTATAAAATATTTGTACCATATTTGACCGTGTAAAACTAAAGGGTACTTATACAAGCAGCTTTTTAGAACAGAATATAAACTACTCTTGAACCAGAAATGGCAAAAAGAGTATGAGAACAGCACATGTGATGTGACAGTCTGAAGAGAGACAACAAAGCCATGTGTAAATGTCAGACAAGGAGTAAAAATGTCTCTAGCTTACTTGCCTTTTACACAGTTACTACTTCAGTGTCTGCATATATCTTCAGAACATGTTTCATAATCCTGACATCATGGTTTATAGAGACCGCAAAGAAGGGAAAGGAAAAGCTACCCACCAAGATGAGGTAGGAATCTTTTGGCAAAGATCCCAAAACTTCTCAACCAGAAAAAAAATCTAACCTTATTTGGAAAAAACACAGAATTTCACTCAAACTATATTTGTATTGCAACTTTTTATCATTAGGAGAAATGGATAGAGATGAAAAACATGCTTTCTGAAATATATTAACATATGCAAAATGAGATAATTAAAACATTTTAAAAATAATTAAAACTACTTATTTTAAGTGTAAAAATTGTTTGGACAAGTTGGCTATTATTTCACATTTGCTCTGCACAGTATATTTTTTGCCTGTTTTCAGTGAGATTCTGTTGTAAACTATTTTTACTTATATGGAATCACACATAAATCAGCACTGCTAAGAGATAAATATAGAAGATGCCAAAGAATTAGAGGGATAAAAAAAATGTATTCCAAGATCACTGTCACCTTTAGAAGTGAAATACCCAGTCCTAAAGGAGAGCAGATAAACAGATACCAAACTCTATGGTGACTTGAGGAGGAGGAGGGAGTCACAGGCTTGCTATACAACTAGAAAACTATCAACTTCTTAAGAGATCAAGTACTCTGAATTAGATCTTGGGTTACTGGTTATAATTGGGTGGGTGCTCGTGCACTGTAAACAAAGTGAAAGGTAAATTCCACTTGCTTTGTTCAATTTTAAATCATCATGTGGCTAAAAGAAGTATAGGATGATTTGGATTCCCTATATGATTTGTAAGATTCAGTTTCATTATATATAACTACTACACACAATGGAACACAATTATGGGGAAACCTACTGGGCTTAAGTGTCAGGTGTTCAGAATACATAACAAAAATGCCCCAAATTAAAAAAAAAAACAGTTTGGTTTTCCCAATAATGAACTCCTAACCCTTCACAATTGAGGCCATCCACGTTCAAGTCTGTTCTGAATTACTCCGTATATTAAGTGCCCCTCCCTCCTTTTTTAAAAGTTATTGTGTAAAAGCATGTATTTATAATTATAAATACGAAATTTTTTAAAAATGGCTATTTTAGGCTCTGCCTTTAAAGAAGGTCACCCACTTCATTTTGTTCTAAAGCCAATGATCCTCTCAGGATAAACTTGGAGCTCTCTCACTAAGTTGCAGCCAACCCTTCCTGCCCAGGGAGGCTCCCAGGGAACCAGACCACCCCTTCAGACAGCAGCTCAAGTTGCCAAAGCTTCTTACCTCACAATTTCTGCCTAATGCAGGGCTCAATGACTAAAACAACAATGAACAAAGGACTTCATGTAACAGTTGCAGCACCTGGTATTTTGTGCCACTAATGTTTTCTCTTTTTTATTTTTTTTTTTAATTAAAAAAAAAAAAAACTATTGCAAAAAATGTCATCCAAACCTATTGAAGAGTTCAAGGCACCATCATACTTGGTCACCAGACTGGAAGAAATTCAGAGAGTACAAGCTGCAAACCAGAATCATTATAGACAAACAGCATTTTCACCACTCCAAGTTCTTGGGTTTTGTTTTGTTTTGTTTTTTAACAAGTTGTTGGATATACTGCATCCAGTTTGCTACAAACTAGTACAATAGAAAGACTAATGTATGACATACCAAGGCTGTAGCTGCTAAGCGTTACCAGGAATGGAACATTTCAGATGTTCAGCTTGTAAAAAGGTTGACTCGTGAATGTCATCCAAATTTCCCTTTCCTATGCTAGTTGTGAACTTCAGTGGCTCAAGTGAATGCCACAGCTTTGTATCTTTGATAGGGTGTTGGTTATTCAATGCATTAACAGCTCTTTCTGTTGCTCTCTTCTTGTTCTGAACTTTTATGAAATGAGGAGATATACGTTAGCAGAGATGATTATGCTCACCCCAATGTAAAGGATCCATTGACTAGTCTTTTTTCCTAATAAGATTACTCTTTGCTTGCAATCTTAAAAACCTATCTATATTTGAAGAAAGAAGGAAGTCTGTTATCTGCTCAGCTGTGTGGCAGCCTCACAAGAGATTGACCAGGTTGGAATAAGAGTTTTTACTCCATTGCCAAAATCAGTATTCTCCTGGAACAAGCAAACACTAATGTGTCTTCACACCAGTCGTAACAGACACAATTTTAAAAGTATCATATAATAAAGAAAATCATTTCAGTGTCCAGCCTTTCCCTTCAGTCCTTCTTTATGCATCCAACTGGAGAAGAGAGAACTCAAGTTCTCCCCTTTTCACAGGTCACATTTAAACAGGCAAGACAACTCACACTAGTCCAGAAAATCACCAGTGCTGAGAAGATGGCAGTGAACTTCATTACCCCCTTCAGCACTTCCTCCCACACTTTGGGGAATAGGGAATGGAGCATTAGTGTTACTGAAATAAAGGCATGAAACTACACATGAAGCCTAAGGGAGTTTTTTTTTCCCTTTTCAAATATACTACATACAGCGTGTGCTTGATGAACACTAATTAAGCATAGTAGAAGCATTTAATTTGTAGTAATGAAATTCAAAGGCAAGATCAGACTCCCTAGTCTTCAGAGTAGACTCCTGTTACAATCAAGAGAAACACTGTAGGGATCAGATCGGACTAATGAATGTTGGTGTAATCAATATACTCGCCATTCTGCGCGTGTGTGCGTTCACACACACACACACATATACTCAACATATGCTAATCACATACACACACACACACGTATATGTAATTTATGCTAATCATACCAGGGGGGTGGGGGGGGGGGGTGATGGTGTTTGAGAAATAAAGAATGCATCAAAAACTTGCTAATGTTATTAATGATGAAAATACTACTTACTGGCAGTAGTTCCACAAATGCAACAAACTGAATCATACATTTGGATGGGAAAAGGGAAATCAACGGGATACGAAGCATCGCAACCGTCAGGGAATTCAACTTCCTCAGCAGCACACTGTTCTGGAAGTCCATTAACAGACAATTAGCAGATTTCCAGTAGGACATTTTAAAACTAAGAGGTAATGCAGAGTCATTACAAACATGAAGAGCGGGCACTGACCTTCCTGCTCTAGACAGGAGAGAGGGCAGCCCCTACCTCCACAACTGGGACAAAACAACTAGATCTCTACTTGCAGAGAAACAATCAATACTGTAATTGAGGAAAAACACAGAGAGAGACACACGTTTGCTTCTCGTTTGGGTAATACAGAGTTTACCACACCTATTACACATCAGTGATGCAGGTCTGCTGACTTCTTTTGATTTACAGCTTTTCCGTAGGTTAAGAACATTAAAAAATGACACAAAAGGTCAAGTAACCTGTTAAAGGTAAGGTAAGCCATTTTCACTGAAGTGGCACAGTTACAGCATATCAGCACTTCACAATCTCAAATGAAATGAGTCTTGGATTGGCCTTGTTAGGTGATGACCCTTCACATCTGCCTCATGCTGGAGTTATGGAAAACACTAATTAAATGAACAACATGCTAATGGTGGGAGCCCTCCTGTTTCTGCCAGCTTTCAGGGTTTGCACTTGTAGTTGCACAGCAGTAGGAAGACTATGAGGTTTGTAACGTGGAGGTGCAGACTCCTTGCTCACGCCCCGTTGTTTAAAGGACAGCCCAATTCGCATAGATCTGCTCACAGTGCAGAATACCATCACCTCCACATCGCGAGCTACGCTGCCTTCTACGCATCTCTTCAGCGATTGTAATAGCACCCAGAACAGGACTGCAAATATGGAGGGCTTTAACAACACAAACACCGAGTCTTGCAACTGAAGAAATCTCCAAAAAATGAGTATTAAAAAAAAAAAAAAAATCCAGAACAATGCAGGTACAGTTTTCTTTCTAGCTAACACACACAAGCAACAAATTGCTGCTCTAGGCAGTGAAGTACTGATCTTACCACCCTGTCAATGTTCTTCAACCATGTAACAACCTGCAGCCAAACTTCCTCTCCAGTTCATTCTTTTGAAGAATTTTCCCTCTCCACTTCATGCTATTCCTACAACTCCCAGCTGCACCAGTCCTTATTTGAACTGACCACGCATACATGTGTCTAAAATCTAAAATAATTCATACTGGAAGCACTAATAAGAACGCTTTGGGGCTGTATCCATGATCATTTTCATCACTGCAATACAGCAGGTGCAAGTTCAAGTAAACATTCAATTTTCTACCATCAGATGATGCTGAAATAGGTCAAAAAAAGAAACAGTAACTGTAGGTTTATATACTGAGAAGAGCAAATGTATGCTGCAACACCAGACACTGCAGAGGTGGCAATCAAGCTGTGTTCAGATTAGAAAACAATGTAACAGCGGCGTTTCACTAAATTAAAGAACCAAAGAGACTAGCTAGGCTTGTAATTTAGTTGTTCCAGGCAAACATCAATTAAGATATTAGGAATTTTCTCATGTATGTCCAGTTATAACACTGTAGACATTCCCTTCCTCCCAGATTTTTGTGCAGTTATTGTTGGTATATTTTTGCCTAGCCCACTAACAAATACAATTATTCATAATAAGCACAGTCATTTGCTGGAGTGAAAGGTTTAACACTATGTAGGATGCATATTTGGGCAGAAAGCACCTCATATGGACACAGTACTTGTTGATATTGCTTTAGAAGAAATTTGCTTCCTTTCACCTGAATTGAGGCAAATGAGCATGCCTACTGAGTTATCTTTTTAATCAGTAGATGGAGGCACAACTGCAATTCTAAATGGCAGAAAGCAAGCAGTCCCTCTCATTAACTCTTCCTAAATTATTTTATCTCAGTCTTCAGACTGAGGCTGTTCTGCCTCTCAGTCTTGCAGAAGCTTGGCCAACTGCGAAGCGCTCAAGAGTTCATGACTCAGCCCATGTACTTGAGGAGTCACAAGGTACCTGGGGAGAGGGAAGAATGACGACTCTCTTTGCTTATAAGAAAATGCAAGAAGTTGTTTGTTTCCCACCCGTGGCTGTCAGCAGAAACCCTGCTGAAGAAGATGCAAAGCCCTTTATCCTCCACAAGCAAGTGAACCCTACGACTCTTTTTCTACTCTGACTTTTCACCTAAGGGCAAACCCCATTGATGAAGATCAAATAGTCTCTTCTAAAGCAAGGGCAGTAATGCTTTGGGACCTCCTCTCTAGGTAAGAACAGCAACTTCATAGGGGAAGGACTGAGGTCCCCAGCAGGAGAGCAATAGTCTTTAGGGACAACTCATGGTAATGGCACTAAGCAGCCTCCAAAGCACCCACGGTTTGCTTGTGCAACTCCAGAGCATTTTACACACCGAGTGATTTTACATACTAGCGGCACTGAGTTTTTCCCCACAAGCCTTTAGATCCGATTTTGATCAAAAAGTTTCTTATTCAGTAGATTTTCTCTGAAGGCATGAGGAAAAATAATCACTAGAGAGAGCTGAGCATTTCACAGAATTAGAAATAGCTTCAAGACGAGACTTAGATACACCATGCGTGCCAGTGGCACAGCAGAGCCAAATAACAACGCTACCATCAGCCTCTTGGCTGAAAACCAGTGAAGTTAAACATCACACTCATCAGAAAAATCTGGTAGAAATATCAGCGTGATTCCTAATGAAAATCACCGATGGAAGAGGGCTAGTCAAGGTTATAAAATGTACACGTAGAGCTTAGGGTGCATCTTGTATGTTGGATATCAAGTTCTTGGTTCTCACATATTATTTACATAGAGTCTGATTAATATTTTACCAATGACATACCGGTATATCTATTACATCTGGTGACATCCTCAGTATTTGTGAAAATACATACTTACAAGTCAAATGTATTAAAATATTTAGACTCCTCACGCTGAAATTTTTATTGTCATTTAGCCAATGTACAGTTTGTTCTGAAGCAGAAAAGTGAACCAGGACACTTCTAACACAGCAAAAGATTGTGTTCAATAAATCCAATAGCCTACTGCCACCAAAAGGAAAACAGTGGAATTACTCCAGATGTAAAGTAACTCTATTACCAGTGGAATACAGTAAATCAAACTTATGTAAAGAGGAGACAAATTTAGTATTTTAATCAGGATGAAGAAATCTTTGAAAACCCAAAAAGCTGGGGGTGAGAACTTGTAAAAGCTGATCTCCTCCAGTTTCTCAGTATTTTATGACCTTATAGGGTAGGAAGCTGGGAAGTATGAAGGCAGAGAGGTAAAAACAATTGACTGAAGAACACTGAAATGGCACAGTTCTTCAGGGTGACCCTTCCTAAGGCTTTGTTCTACCTTCCAGAATATTCCATACAAGAAAAGAAATAAGATTTTGAAAAAAGTAAATTTAATAAGGTAACATGATTTCTCTATAGAATAAATCCGGCATTTTAGAAAGAGGTCATATGATTCATGCACATCACCAGATCTATGGGTAGGAAAGGAAACAGCTGTAAGTAGCTCATAATGACATCTTTTATAAATACAGAACCAGGGCTACTCTATACACAAACCAGGGGAAAAGAAACATTTAAACACTTACCGCTGCAGTAAATAGGGTACACTTCTGTGGCCCTTATTCATCTCCACACTTTTCACAGGTGCCGTGCTTTGCACAGGTGGAATGCAGGAGGGTACAGGAAAGTCCCTCACCTTATTTATAGTCAGCTCTAATACCAGCAAGTGGTTGATTTATGGTACGGATCTGTGATTATTACTTAGAAGACAGGAAGTACTACAGCAATTAACTCACAACAAATCTCTCTGCTTCTAACCATCGAGAAGATGGGTGTCAGAAAAAAATCGAGACAGGAATGAGGCATTATTCATCCCATCCAATTTAGGTGCTTACATTCCCTGTGAAGCCAACAGAAGACAGTGGAAGACATCCAATCTTTTCCATATTGACCATACAAAGGGCCTGAGCTTCTAAACGAGGTATTTGAAAATAAACAGTATGGCCACCTCCTGAAAGACTGTATTTGGTGCAATTAGGTACTACGATCAATGGAGACATAAAAGTTATCTCTCTTTTTCTGAACTTCAGATGCAGATCACAGCACACAAGGGAAGTGGCTGCATAAACAAGTACTCTGACTTCCTGTTGCTATTCTGCTGTTTGCTCCCCTTCCTCCACCACCCAGAGGAAGAAGGAAACAATAAAACCACAAAAGGAGAACAAACATTGCTGTTAATATTTTCATCATGTAGACTTTTCACAGCGAATTAAATATCAAGACTGGAATAAATTTGCTCAGAAATTCATGTGACAATTGAGACAGAAGGGATGACACAGATCTTCAAGCGGAGCTTGCTCTTTCAGATGCTGGTGAGACACCAGCATCCAAGACGTGTGTCCAAAGACTATGGTGTTATAAGCACAGAGGAACACTTTTGAAGTTGGCTGTTAGCAAATACAACACAAAATACCCCCCCATATCTGAATTCACAGAGGTACTAAAAGTGTTCCAGACAACTCTCTGAAGCATGCAAGTATGTGTTTGGTGGTTCTCAGCTGCTTGAAGATTTAGATAACAACTTGTACGGCCGAGAGGATTTCTCCTCCCCCTGCCATATCATTCAAACAAAAGCAGCTCACACCATACCTCTGTGTGACGCCTTCACACCAGTCAGCTCATGCAAGAGGCAGAGATTTACAGGACAGCTGTGAGATCTGAAAAGGAGGTATCACAAATAATAGCTTGGACAATGGGTTTTCCCACTTGGTAGATGGAAGAAAATGAAAAGAAGTTTAAGCCTCCTTACTTCCAGAGAACAACCCTTTCCCTAACCTTTTCCTGCCCCATACTGGGAGGTGTGAAAGAGAGATGGCCCGCAAAATGACCAGAAAGCCAAGGGAGTTTTTAGGATGCTCTAGAACAGAGATCCTGAAAGTATCGACAGGACTTAGGTGTCACCCACTAGAAATAAGCATCCATGCATACTCAACATGAAGTTGTGTCTGTACAAAGTACTTTGTGTATTGCTTAGCTCAAAGCTTCCAACTTAAAAGTGCATTGAACTGCATCAACTTTGGTTGTTTCCCAGAAATTTCATCCACAAGGAGATGGGAAGAGTGGTGGCCATGAAGACGATGAGACACACCAGATGAAAGCGAGGTGCTAATTCACATTGGAAGATGTGACCTCGAAGACCACAGTTGTCACCGGTTTTGATTCTTAAAGCACCACAGAGGGCAATGTGATATCTTCTCCCCAACATATTGCCATCCTCCTAAGCTATATGCTCATGTTACAACAATGGGTAAATATCAAATAATTTTAGTGTCCTGTGTTTTCTAGGGCCTGAATTAACATTATATCCAGAACATGACATCTCAGCAGTGCTTGAATAAGAGTTTTATTTGAGAGGGAAAGAAAGGAAAAAAAAAAAACAAAACAAAACAACCAAACCACCACAGACAAAACCAGAGAGTCTTAAGCCCTGCAAGAATCAACCTTTATGATTCAGCTTTCATTCCAGGCTTTTCAAGGCATCATATGAATCTGATCATTAAAGAAACAATGGATCCTTTACAAAAGCAGAAAATCCTCATTGAATTCCAAATCTGTCAACTACATTTGCCTACCTAAGTTTCTCTAGCTATTTCCTCTGGATGTGGCACTGTCTCTTCTGGCCATCATATTGGTTGAGCAGCTGTCACACTGCAGTGATGGCTAAAGAGCTACCCATTTCTGCAAAGAGAAAGACAAAGCCTACATAGACTTTGGAGAATATTCATTTGAAGTTATCATTCCTCTAAAGTCACTGTACTGTAATACTGCATTGAAATAACTAGAAAAATACTACTTATGTTTCTTGTGTTATCTGCCACATCTCTCAGAGGTAAGTCAAAAGCACCTCAGAACAGGTTAAGAAAAAAAAAAAAAAAATATAACCACCAGGTCTGAAAAATTACTATCAGAACAGGAGAGAATGGGTACCACAGTAAAATTTGGCTTAGGCAGATTTAGAGAGGAAACGAATTTTAAAAAATAAAAACGAAAAATGAATCAAGAATTGAACAGGAGTCTATAGCAAAGCATAGAAGTATCAGCCGGAATACACAGGGAGGGGTGAAGAATGTAGGGAGCATTAGTTGCTTTTTCTAAAAGAATATGATACAACAGAAAGCCTTTTTTTTTTTTTTTTTTTCAGTGATACTGTCAGGTAGAACTCAAAACTTCCTGGCTCTTAGCCATGGATTCAAACACTGATCCTCACTGGGCTCTGGTAATGCAGGTCACCATTGCCTCACGAGACAGCGCAGAGAACAGGCAGTGTGTCCAATTCAGAGAAAGTCTAATTCACCGCTCAGAATATCAGCAGCTATTGGTTTCAGTTTACTTCAGTATGCCAGCAAACTAGCTTGCTGCTGAAGAAAGAGCACATTTTGCTTCCCGCTCCCCTTCGCTCCTGGCGATGTAAGTCCCAACTGCCTCCTTTAATCATCTCTGATGCTCATCGGGTCTTTGTCATGAGACAATTTAAACTCAGGAACTCTGCAGTAATTCTCTTTTTGTTTCCTCCCTTTGAGTTATTCAATAATCCAACAGAACACTGTTAACTCACAGAGTGGTGTACAAAGCACTGTAGTTGTCAAAAGGTAAGAAGAAGCGGCAGTGGGTGGAGTAAAATGGGCAAGTCCCCCACTTGGGCAACAACATACTTCCCAGCTGGCACACTGCATCTTGCAGAAGAGATCCAACTGCTCTGCCCACCAAGATGGTTGTCTTCGGGCACAAGCAACAATAAAGAAATATCCAATTGAAGCAGCAGGTTTCACACGTGCCGTTCCTTACCTGATCCACACAGAGAGAGGCTGCCGCTAACAGTGATGTGGGCACAGCATAATTGCGAGGGACCGTCCTGTGCTGCCTGCTGCATCTGGTGACACCGAATTTAATGATTCGGTCATTTAAAGCAGCACTTAACTGCGCATCTGCTGGGCTAACGTGCATGTTTGCACTAACATAATGACTTCTGGTACAGAAGCAGCAATATATATATATAAAAAGGTCATTTTACAGTAATTTTTCTTTTAAAAAGCACGCGCGCGCTTACTTTTGACCTTGTAACAAACGAGAACACAGATAAAAGCAAGCAAAGCCGATTGCTTTTAAAGTTTCTGACATTTTCTTTTCAGCATACAGACTAACACAAGGTAATCCCAAAGATTCTTTAGAGAACAGTAATGCAAAAGATGTTGTTTTGAAAAACAGATTGATGGATCTTCAGCAATGTAAATACCATGCAGTAAAAAGAACATGTCGTGTAGCAAGGAAACATGTTGCAGCTTTACTTGTATGCAAAAAAAGGACACTTTAGAAAGTGAAAAAAACAGCATAAAGAGCTCACTGCTAAACACGGGGGTTTGGGTATGAAAAATTACGCAGTCGGGCTGCTGCATTTAAATGTTTTCATCGCATGAGCAATGAAAAAAACTACCGCCTGCGTTTGTAAATCCTGCAAAACAGCTGTGGATTTAACCACCGGGTGGCAGCGGCCACCCGAGTATTTCCACCCGCGGGCTTCCTGTGACACATCGAGCTACTGGGACCTACAAGACGCTTCCCTCTCTGAACGGAGAGAGGAAAAAAAAAAAAAAAAAAAAATCAATCCGGGAAGAACGCCTGCTCCTCCCTCACACACACAAAGCAAAATCTGTTTGCCATTTAAACCAGCTCGCTTCGTAACTGGCGCTGGCTTTCCCAAAATACAGTTTTCTCGGGAGAAAGCTGGTGTTGTGAGCAGTAGCTCCTCGCAGGGAGCTCGGAAGCGGCCGTGCTTATTTCCACGAGCGTCAGGCCCACGAGTGCGCGGGGCCGGCGGGCTCCTGCTGCCGAGGGGACGCCAAGAGAGACCCCGGCAGCGAGCCGGGTGCTCCCACGCAGAGCGGTGCGGGGTAACGGATGAAACCAAAGCCCACACCGGCTGCTTCTACCCACCCGGGACACGGCGCAGGAACACCCGGCACAGCTCAACGCCACGCTGAGGACGGCCGGTTCCCACAGCACCCGCAGCCGCCAGAGCCCCACGGGGGAGAAAACCGCTCGTTCTGGTGCGGAGGGGAATCGCCAAGCCAGCCGCGGGGAGCCCGCCGGAGCGGCTTCCCTCTGAGGGACGCCATTCCCTCAGAGCCCGCCGCAATGGCGTCCCTCAGAGCCCTCTGCCCCCCCCGGCCCCGGTACCTGGAGGAGGCCGCCCATCTTGGCGCTCAGGGCGCGGAACTCCTCCGGCGCCGCCTCGGGGTAGAGCTGCCCACGCAAGAGTTCCTCCGTGATGTCCCCGTTGCCGTAGTAAGCGGCCTGGGCGATGCCGCTGAGGAGGGCGCTCAGCGGCTTGCAGCCCTCCGGGGCCGCCATGATGGGGAGGGCGGGGCCGCCCGCCAGTACGGCGGCCGCGCAGGGGCAAACCCACGCGTGTCCCGCGGGGGTTTTTTGTGGGTTGTTTTTTTTGTTTGTTTGTTGTGGTTTTGTTTTCCTTTTTGTTTTTGTTTTTTTTTTTAAAGGGAGGGTCAAGACGAGTCGCGCTTTTCGCGGGCTACCAACCCCTAAGCGGCGAAAGCGGCGGCTCCAACACGATGTTAGGTTTTATTTAACATCAGGCTTTAGGCGCGTAGCACGTCTCACTCACTGCCGACACTCCGAGCCTTCACCGGACCGCTGTACTTCCATTTCCTGGCAGCTTCATGCGGTATTTCAAAGGTATCTGTGATTAAAAAAGAAAAAAAAAGAAACAAACAAACAAACCCACACACATAAAAAATCCACCTAAACCCCCATCCCATTAAGCAGAACCAAACAGTAATGACCTGACCAATAAATTTCTGCTTTCTAAACAGTTTCTTCAAGCACTCCATTTTACTAATTACCTGGACATTTTAGGGAAACTTCCATAGGATTTTCTCCCTGTCCCTTTGCTGTGAGATGCAGGGCAGACCACAAAACCCAGGGACAGTTAGGTACAAGTTACTAATAAAAATAAAGTGTTTTCTCTGTGCACCAATTGATACAAGTTTAAATATGAAAAAAAATATTAAAATGCTTTGTCTATACAAGCATATGCAGTCACAAAAGATATCATGTGCTCACCTAAGAAACATCTACAGCAAATTTTCTTCTGCTAATACAGTGGTATCATTTAGCACCTGATCTGTTATTTAAGCCCTGTGTATCTGCACTCTTTTTTATGACATACCAGAAATACCATGCTGCTCAAAAATATAAAACATAAGTTTATGATCAACACGATGTGTTCTGCCCATTTCTTTATTCTGCATCTTTTTGTAAGCAGAAAACAGGCAAAAAATGTGCAAGTTGCCCTTGCCTGAGGGGGATCACAGTGTACCCCTCCTGAAGCTAGAGGTACAGGAAGAATTAACAGTATGCGCATGTAAAAGTTTATTCCAGTCTCTCCATTCATTTGGACAATATTTAAAGCATCCTTTTTCACCAATGGTATTTAGATTAAACAGCACCTTTAGAAGCTTTAAAGAATCTGGAGATACAGGAGTTTCTTTCAACCACTAGAAATGAATATACAGGATGAGAAATGTAACTTCATTGGGGTACAGACTCTTTGCTGCACAGCCAACCCTTTTGGGACTCAAAACTCTTCTCTGATGAGTACAGTTCACTGTTGCTCGGATGTAAACAGAAAAGGGAGCAGGGTAGTAACTCTTCAGGGCTTCTCCATCTCACCACAGGACACAAGGTAACATTTCTATCACTCTGGTTTCAATTTCTGAAGACGCTGTTCCTTGATGACATGCTTTCTTCTGCTGCAAGCTGACATATTGTTGTTAACTCCTAATGAGCAGTGCTGGTTTACTGACTTGGGTTGAGGTACAAAGACAAATTTGTCATTATAATTGCTTTTTCTGCTCAGGTCCCAGCCCACTCAGTGCCTTGCATGAAGATGGCAAAAAGCTGGTGAAAAGTGCATATTTGGACTTAAAAACCAGTATAAAATCAGTCAGAATGCACATGGCAGCAACCAGTAACCTGTGTCTTTAGGAATATTATTTATTTGTTGTTGTAAACAACCTTATTTTTAAACAAATTAAAAATACATTGAAAAGTCTCTCTCTATATATATACACAGTACACATTGAAACTTCACTTCATTGCGATGCCACGGTTTAAGCAGAAAAACAAGAGTTCTTGATCCAAAACTTAGCTGCAATACAACCAGCTTCAGCAGTACAGCACACAGCGCTGCCAAGACCCGGTCCCCTCAGGAATACTTCATTTGTTATTTATCACCTGAACTGTTTTTCGACCATAGTGGTAATAGCTGTACGCAGATGTTACCGTCGTGAAAGCTGTGATGCACCTTTGGGGAAAATAGTTCCTGTAAGTTGTCTGAGTCTAAGTACGAGAATAAAAAATGTTATTTTTAAGAGCCTTCCCTATTTTCCACTGCAGTCATGGACTATGTCCTACAGAAATGCAGTTTACATGCTGAAATTCAGTGTTAAGTGAAGGATTAGATAAACAATGGAACTGCTATCCAGCATTGAGTAGCATGTCCAGTGTAATTGCATACTAGGCCAAATTTTTACCACATTAGCACTTGTTTTAGAGAAGGGAAGACAAAAGATCTGTTTCAGCATTTGTACCCTGTATCATTTTTACCAGCTTGAGAACTGACTGATGTAAGGAAGCATCCCTTGGTAGTATGAATGGGGAGCATTCAAACCATACAAGACTTGAACTTATCATTTTACCAAGTTCCAAAGCTGAAGCACAAGTTTCGGTTTCAGCCTCTTTCGTTCTCTTCCCAGACACTGGGTAATAACCATAATAATTACTAATAAGTTAAAAACTAAAATTAGCAGCATTCCCCGGTGTCCAAGGCTGACACCATTCAGGTATGAGCCACTGCTAGTCCTGCCCCTCCACTGGCACTGCCCTCCCCGGCCACGCTGCCAGACTCAGCCAGCTCATTTCTGAGAGTGTTTATAGAGGACCCTGCTAAGGTACACCCAGCATTTCTCTGTTACTCACAACACGGTAACTCTCAAAGAGCCCCAGACAAGCAGCAGGGTAGGTGTCTCTCACAGATGCAATTCTAGATCTGGCTTTCCAACAGGATGAAAAACCCCACTGACTTTTAAGATCAAGGTTCCTAGTTCCTTAAAAGCTTTGGGGTTTTTGTTTGGTCTGGTTTTGTTTTTCCTAAAAGACAAGTCACACTGAATTTCCTGCTGCTTTAAACTAAGTTACTAAGTAATTCTGCTATCTGCTGTTCAGCCTCTTTGTTCTGAACTCTTACCTAACTGCTCAGGAAAAGTAACTGCACTGGCAACACCGGCTGTCAGCTACAATTCAGATTCAGATACAGTTCAAATCTCCAATGACCGCAGTGAAAGGAACAGCCATGATTAAAGGAGGTACGCTCCTGTACACCTGTTCTCATTTGATCCCTCCCCTTCCTTCCTATAGTCTAGCAGGAATCACTGATTTCTTCAGGTGCTCTTCAAAGTGGCTTCAGAAACCTGGATTTCAAGATAGCAGGTGCAGTATAAAGCAAAAATAAGAAAGCACTTCCCATCTATTTTTTTACTGATATCAAGGTTGCTTTTTCAAGGACACTTACAGCATGAATAAATAGAGGACCGATTCAGCCCTTCTCCCTTCTTTACTATTAATCTGAATTTACACTTTGCCGGTGTATACCACGTCTATGTCTTTTTGCTTGTATAGCAAATTAAGTACCCATAAGTATCTCGCTCCTGTGCCAGTTAAGAATAAACGTGTAAAAATTCAGGCATATGCATCTATTGCATCATCTGGGCACAGTTTTTTTGTTCCACAAAATTAGATTAATCTCAATTACCAGTTCCTTTAAGAGTACATTAAATTATCTGGAAAAAAAAGTGAAGAGATAAGTTACCATAACGTCTGCAGATATACGCTGTCCACATAATTGAAAACAGGAGCTGCTAAAGAAGCTGCCACCAAAATTAGCTGAACCGCTGTATTCATCTGGTAAAAACAAAATGGGAAATGTGACCAAAATGAAGACGTGTACTATGCAAGGAATACCAATATACACTTTTATTACTGGTTTAAGTATTAGTCCATATACAGAAAACTTGTTTAGAAGCCTCTTTGAACAAAGCATCTTACATTATTGAAATTAGCATGCGCTCTGACAGAGTGTAGTTGAAAATCTTTCAGGATGTAAGTTGCCTCCGAATTAGATGGCACTATTTTGAAACTGCATTCAGCAGTTGCAGTAAACAGCCCCCTCCCTCCAAACTACACACCACCCCAAGTACTGAGGAGTTATCTTTTGTGACAACTCTTACCTTGCTAATGAATGTTGGTTTTAATTGGGCAGTAGCGTAACAGGGGTTAAAATACCTACTGAGTGTTCTCTGTTGGGGGAGAAAAAGAGGATTAAAAAAAATAATAATAATTCTAGTATGTTCAATTTGAAATACCTCTTCACATGATACAGAAAAGCCAACTGTAGTGCTAAAGAATTATACCACTACTGCTCTTATATGTTTTATTACAAATCACACACACAAAAAACAAAGTTATCAGATAACTCTAACTCATCGCTATAAAACCTATTTTATGAAATTTTATGAAATATTTTATGTTCTGCTTATAAATGTCTGGCAAAAGAACAAGCACAACATTGCATCTTAGGCTATCCACCCAAGTTTTGAGCGACCATCAAGCTTCAAAATGAAAACCTCTTGGTTACAATTCTGTTAAAGGCTTATTCGGGTCTTTTTATACTTGCAAAAATAGGGAAAATTTAAACAAAATAAAATTATTACATCTTCATACAATTTTGATGGATGTTATACACTTACCGGTGGAGAAAGAGTTTTATATCGCACGTAAAAAACAGCAGCAATGAGCGCTACATCCCTCAGAATGATCATGGAAGTCAGTGAAACTGAAAAACCAAGCCAACAGGATCTAGTGAAAAATCACATCCATGATTCAAAACAAATAAAACCAACAGAGCACAAAATGTGAAGCGAGAAGAAATAACCAGTCTCAGATTCTTCTGAACAAGTTTTATGCACGACTGAAGATTTTGAACATGACTTCTGAAAGGGTTTAATCTGAAGTCTTCAAACAATCCAGTTGAGAAAATTTTTGATATAACTATTATTGCTTCAAAGAAAATACATTTGAAAATGGCAGTATATGCTAGTTGGTTTTGTAGATGGCAGCACATACTTTCTGTGAGGTCTGCTGGGGGGTGGTTTTTAAGTATTTAATAGGAGCAAATATCAAAGTACAACTGACAAAGCAAGAGTTCCAAGCCACACGCAGTTTTCCTTCCAGAAACACAAGAAATATGACTACGCATAAAATTAACTTCTTTAACTTATACAGCACACGTCACCAACATTTTTCTCACCTGGGATAAGATTTGCACAAGTTAGGCTTACATAGAGCACACTGATGAGAATTTTATCAGCCAGAGGGTCAAGAGCACTTCCCAAAGCTGATTTCTGATTAGCCCAGTTTCGTGCAATAAATCCATCCAGCTAGGAAAAACAAAGTTCAATGTTTCACTGTTAGAAAATTAAGAATAAAAATAGCTTATACATACTACTGTTACAGAGATATTTCATGAACGACACCACATAATACAGCTGGTGTAACTAAGATGAAGTATGATACCTGCTAGCTGATATTTGTATCGTGCTTTTATGCTTTTCCACATTGCATTCCAGATTCTGGAAGCCTCTGAACATATTCAATTCTCATTATTTACCAAAAAAAAAAAAAAAAAAAAGGAAAAAAGGCACTCTAAAATTCACACATTTATTGTCATCACGGGCTCAGCAGGTTACACCTGCACATGGTAACAGAGCACTAGATGCAGAAGCGCCGGCTAGGCAATGCGCACATGGGGCTGCTTAGGGAACTTTTTTGCTCCACCAGCACAAAGTTCCCATCGGGCACCTGTAAGCTCCCTTCGCAACATCTCAAAGGAGGTATAGAGCGTTTCTAGCCAACAAATAATATGAGAATTAATCTGTTTTATTCATTGCCATTCCACACTAGAGTCTACATTTCAACGCGTGTCAACGGGATCACCGTAACCCACGCTATCCCCAACTTCCAAACTGATGTAAACGTACCAAATCCGTCACGCCAGCCAAAACGAAGACACCTAGTGCAACGCTGAAATTTTCTTCAACAATCAAATAGCCTAAAACTGGCACCAAACCCATCCTTGCCATTGACAGCATATTCGGGATCGTCCAGGGGTTTTCATACTGTAAACCAAGAAAGCCAAAAGTTCAGGCCAGGAAGGCAAGCCCTCCCTTGGCACGTAGCAGAACTAATCAAGACAAACACAGGCTTTAAGGTGAACTAGAGGGAAAGGCTTCTCAGTTCTTGGCAGCAACCTGCTGTTTGCGCAAGAATGACGGACACGGCCTCGGAGCCATGAACATTAATGCCGAGCCCCGAAAGGCCCTGGCCTGGCTGCCACGACACCCCCGTTGTGTCTCAGGGGGACAAGCGCTCCCCCCTCAGGCTGCACCCTTGAGTGGCAGGGCACCCCCCCACACATACACCACCCCCCCCCCAACAGACAGCTCCCACTCCCCCATACACCCTCCATCCACACACCCCACATGCACCCCCCAGGCACGCACACACCCCCACACACACACCCCCCCCACCAGACAGCTCCCACCCCCACCCCACCCCCCCACACACACACCCCCCACCAGACAGCTCCCACCCCCACCCCACCCCCCCCTCCACCCACACACCCCACATGCACCCCCCCCCATCCCCTATGCCCACACACCTGCCCACAGACACCCCCCATACACACCCACACCCCCCGCACACACACTTTCCACGCACACCCTACACCCACCCACACCCCCCAAACCCTCCCCCACACCCCATCCCCTACACCCACCCCACACACACCCCCTCCACGCACACACCTCACACGCACCCCCAAACCCCCTCCACGCACACACCTCACACGCACCCCCTCACCCCCCACACCCACCCCAACCCACCCCACACACACCCCCTCCACGCACACACCTCACACGCACCCCCAAACCCCCTCCACGCACACACCTCACACGCCCCCCCCGCCGTTCCCGCCTCACGCACCAGCTCGGCGCACCGCCCCGCCGCACGCCGCTGCCGGGGGGGTCGCGTTTGGGGGGGGTCGCGGGGCTCCGGCGGCGCGGCCCCCCCCGCGCTGAGGCGGCGCCAGGCGGCGGCGGCGGCGGGCGCGCGCAGCAGCCGCCGGGGCGCGCGCAGGGCCGGGCCCGCCACCCCCCCCCCCAAAGCAGAAAACGGCGCCGTTACCGGGACGGCGGCCGCCGCTCCCCCCCGGCCGCCTCCGCTCCGCGCTGCGGAGGAACCCCCAGAAACCCCTCCCCACCCAAGCGGCGGCCAGCATGGCGCCTAGCCCTACGCGCTCGGCCCCCCTGCCCGCGGGAGCGAGCGGCCTCCCGCCGCCTCCATCCGCCGCCCCGACAGACCGGGCGGGGGGGTGGGGGGGGGGGGGGGGGGCCAGCGACCGGGGACGGTGTACGTGTGCGGCAAGGAGGGACGGGCGCGCGACAGTTGGCGGCGCTTTACGGCAGAGCTGGCGCCCGCCGCGGGGTTGGGAAGCGGAGCCCGGCTGTGAGGAGAAATGGAGGGGGAGGGGGGGAAAGCGGGTTTTCGCCCCTTTTTCCAGCCTACCTGCCGGCCCAAGCTCTCCGGCGGGCGGCTGCGCTCCTGGCAGCACTTCGGGGAGGAAGGCGAGGTTTGCTTTAGCGTGAGGGACTTGAGAGCAGACGAGCAGGCGCTTGGGGTCGGTGCTTGGCTCTTCTCTCGGCCACGTTTACTTGAGCTGAAGGAGAAAGAAGAGTTTACTTTTCCAGGTGCAGTCGTTTATTCGCTCCTAACACTGAGGCACGCGGCTGTTGCTCATATTTCTGTAGAGGGGTTTGACCCCCGGGTGTTCATTCGGTTTAAGGACAGGAGACCATAGCTGCCAAAACCAAAGGAGACTCTTAAAAACCAAAAACAAACAAAACAAACCCTAAAACAAAACCAACAAAACAACAAACAAAAAAACACCACAAACACACAACACCCCCCCTCCCCCAAACACACAAAGCCCACCCACCCAAACACTAACAAAAAAAAAAAAAAAACAAAACCAAAACACAAAAGATCCTAAACAAGCACATGTAGGATATTTCACTCAACCTAAAGCTCAAGGAGAAAGAAGAGTTTAATTTTCCGGGTGCAATCACTTACTTGCTCCTACCCCTCTACCCTAACAGAGACCCACTGTTATTTTTCATATTTCTGACATCAGTTTATCACCCAGTTTACGACCTCCAGGTGCTCATCCAGTTTTAATGACAGCAGTCACTAAAGACAAAGTCATAAAGACAGCAAACTGCCAAAACCAAAGGAGACTAAAAAAAAAACAAAAAACAACCAAACAAAACAAAACCAACAACCAACATAACACAACAGACCCTAAACAAGCACATGTAGGATATTTAACTCAACCCTGTCCACAATTGTTTGGAAGAATTGAGAAAGAGCAGCTTGTTATTAATTACCACATCAATTAGATGTGGTAGCCCTTTTTTAAAGATGGGGAGGATGCAGCATCAGCAAGTTCAGAGGACAGAAAAGGGGGAGGAGTGGCTGATACAGGGGGTGGGGGGACCGGCTGCCTTTTGGGGGGTTCATCAAGAGTCAGGAGAAAGGGGGTGACAGGGCACTGAGGAAGTTCACCCCCACCCCGCGGGAGCTGGCCCCGTGGGCAGCGGCAGCTCCACTGCTTTTGAAATTCTCCTCCTGGCCTGGGGCTGTTGTGCCCTGGTCAGGCACAGGAGATTTCTTCTCTGTGGAAAACAAAAACCAAAACAAAATAACAGAAAAAACCAACCCCTGGCTCCCCTCCCAACAAACAAAAAGCAAAACAAAACAAAAAACCCACAAAAAAAATCACACAAAAAAAGACCAACCCCCCAAAAACAAAACAAACCCCCTCCAAAAAAAACCCCACAAAATCAAAAACCCGATAAAAGAAAAACTCCCCCCCCCAAAACCCAACCCCCCCAATCCATCCCAAACTCCTCCCCCAAAACCCCTCTAAGAAACCGAAACTCCCCCCCCCCAAAAAAAACAAAAAAAACAAAAAAACCAACCCATACACCCCACCCCACCCCCCCCCAAAAAAAAAAACCACACCAAACCCCACCCAAACTCTGATTTCAGCCTTTTCCAACAGGTTGTTGCAGTGTCCTGCTACGTACCCCCTGCCTGTTAGTTTACAGGGGGTCAGTGGGATGAACTCCCGAGTTGCAGGGCCGGGCCTCTCCCCCATTGCCCCGGTGCTTGCAGGTGTAGGGGGATGCCAAGTGCTGTGTGCCCACACAGAGCCACAACTCATACCTCAAAAAAAAAAAAAAAAATTCACCACAGTTACCACAACAAGCAAACAAAACCTGGGAAGAGCTGGCTGCTTGCCACTTGAGAGTTCAAATGTAGAATTTGTCTTCTCTTAATCATCTCATCATCGAACTAGTTTTCAACTTCAAGTGTGTTGAAGTAGATTCACACAGAGGCAGTACTGAGCAGTTTAACGCGTTCTTTCAAATCTGTAAAGCGCATATTTTCGCCCAAAACTGCTGTGGAAGCATGCTGTAGATCAGAACCTTATGTCACTTAAAAAAAGCAGAAATAACAAAGCTTATTTTCTTGTCTTACAATTTATGTAGACATGAAAGAAGAAAACATAAGTATCAGCAATGCACCCTTAAATTTTTAAAATTGTTTTTGAAGGTTCCGTATGTCTTTTAATACTTACACTGAAAGCTTCTTATCTGCCATTTTATCGCAGCAGACCATGATTCTGGTTTCATAAAAGTCAGGAAACATTCAGCAGTTTACTCTTGCAGAACACACGTTCTTGTGTCAGGAACAGAGTTGCACAGAAACACAGGTAACATGTTTGCATTGTGTAAGAAACTATGAACTAAGGGTATTGTTTATTGAAATTTATGTTAAGCTCAATGTAAAGGTTAGGCGGCAAAAGACAAAAAAAACTGCTTATGCAAATAGCTGCCAGACACCACTTGTGTGAGACAAGATAACCTGTGAGACAAGATGACTGCGTGAGATAAGATGACCGCAATTGCTTACACAAACCAGATACTTGTGCAAGCAGAAGGGGTACTGATCAAAGACAACCACGGATGTAAAAATGTATAAAAAGGAACTGTTTGAACTGATCAGTACGGCAGTTGGCGGAGCGCAGACTCCCCTGCTGTCCAGCGCTGTCTTTGCTCATATTCTACTTGCTATAATTAATAAAATTATAATTGGATTATGATCCATTGTGGTCTCAATTTATAACAATTTCATGGTGCCGTGACTCGGATAAGGAACGGTGGGCTTCTGTCCTCCGGGGAGGCGCCCCGCGGCAATCCGCGGCCCCGCGACTGATAGCCCACCCCATCCTTACCGACGAACCTAAATTCTAGAATAATGAGCAAAGGAGAAACCGGTAAAATCCCATAAAAATTCTGTGCACGGGAGTCCGGACGAAGACGCAGGACGCGTAAGTATATTGCGAATTTGTTCGCGGGTTTACCGTTCGGGCGGGATTGGGTTTCCTGGATTATAGCGAATGAGAGGTTCGATATACTGAACCAAGCGAGTGCGGACCCTTAAGTACTGCGTTTCCCATTTCCCGCGAGG